AACTAGGTAATCCTAAATCCTGGACGGGTAGGCATGCCTTGAAGACTGGTTTGGAAACAACTTAACCTATTTTTCCTGTTATATCTTATAATAGTTTGTCTAATCTGTTGTTAAATTGTTGTTACATTAAGCACGGCATAATAAGTTGTCACAATATAAATGACAATAATAATAATCAGAAGAAAATAATAATAATAATAATAATAGCATGTTTGAGCTTTAATTGATTAAACTATGTATCATGTGATTTTCCTGAACTATGAAGATTTTTGAGTTCCATGTAGTCCGTTCTATTTATTATTATTATTATAATTATATTTATTTAGTGCCAACAAACTCCTTAGCACTTTACAATTGGTGGACTAACAAACATGAATCCAAACTTAAAGATTGCAGTTAAAATTATAATTTGTGGCTTGGTGAATGGTGTCGGGAGCAAGGATTTGGCTTTATTTCTCATGGTAGCTCTGTTTGGAATGGAGATAAGCTGTACAAAAAAGATGGTTTGCATCTTTCTCAAAAGGGAACAAATGTTCTCAGTGAGCAGTTCAGAGGTTTTGCTAGGATGTATTTAAACTAGGAGGGGGGGGGGCAAAAGGGTGATAAAACATCAATCCAATTGTCCCCCAAAACAAGGACAGAAGGTGCCTGTAGCAAGTGTGTTAAAAAATGATAAGCTTAGAGTCATGTCTACAAATGCTCGCAGTTTAGGGAATAAGATCCATGAACTTGTGGCAATAATGGCAACTGATAGTGTAGATTTAGTCGCTGTTACTGAGACATGGTGCAATGAGAAAAATGACTGGGACATAGCAATACCAGGGTACTCTTTATATAGGAAAGATAGGGAAGGCAAGAAAGGGGGAGGGGTGGCCTTGTATGTGAAGGATAGCATAAAATCTAGCCTAATAAAAGTTAGTGAGGCAAACATAGAGTCCGTTTGGGCTACGTTAGAATTTGGTAATCACACAGTAACTCGTGTAGGTGTGATTTATAGGCCCCCAGGACAAATTGAAGAGTTAGATAATCTACTAGTTGAGGAAATAGCTAAAATGACAATGAAGGGGAAGTTATCATCATGGGTGACTTTAATCTTCCTGATGTAAATTGGAAAACAAAATTAGCTACTTGTGCCAGGAGCACACATATTCTAAACTCCCTACTGGGTTTGTCTCTAAAACAAGTTGTTGAGGAGCCAACTCGTAAAGAGGCCATACTAGATTTAGTGTTAACAAATGGAGATTTAGTATCAGATGTTACTGTAGGTGAAAGTTTAGGATCCAGTGATCATGAGTCAGTGTGGTTTAATATAAGAACAGTGACTGAGTCACACCACACAAAAACAAAAGTTTTAGACTTTAGAAAAACAGACTTTTCTAAAATTAGAATATGGGTAGAGGAGTCATTATCAGACTGGAGCAATTTAAATGGAGTCCAAGAGAAATGGGATTATTTAAAAGTTGCACTATTGAAGGCAACAGAAAATTGCATTAGGCTTGTCAGTAAAAGCAAAAAATTCAAGAAACCACTGTGGTACTCCGCAGATGTGGCCAAAATAGTTAAAAACAAAAAGTTAGCATTTAGGAATTATAAAAAAACCCAGAGTGAGGGAGACAAAATGATCTATAAGATTAGGCAGAAAGAGGCTAAGCAAGTTATAAGAGCTTCCAAATCACACACAGAAGAGAAAATAGCACAGACAGTAAAAAAGGGGGATAAAACATTTTTTAGATACATAAATGAGAAAAGAAAAGTAAAACAAGGATTAGTTAGATTAAAAACAAAAGAAGGAAGGTATGTAGAAGAGGATAAAGGTCAGGCTGACTGCCTCAATGAATATTTTTGTTCTGTATTTACAGAAGAAAATGAAGGAAAGGGACCTCAGTTGAGAAAAAGGATAAATGAGTCATTTATTACACGTGAGTTTACAGAGGAAGAGGTTCTATTTCAACTGTCAAAAGTAAAGACAAATAAGTCAATGGGACCTGATGGAATACACCCAAAGCTATTAAAAGAGCTTAGTGGTGTACTAGCAAAACCATTAACAGATTTATTTAACCAATCATTGTTAACAGGTGTAGTCCCAGAAGATTGGAAGTTAGCGAATGTTGTGCCCATTTACAAGAAAGGTAATAGGGAGGAGTCGGGCAACTATAGGCCAGTAAGCCTTACTTCAGTAGTGGGGAAAGTGATGGAAACCATGTTAAAGGATAGGATTGATGAACATCTAAAAACACATGGATTTCAAGATCAGAGACAACATGGGTTTACTTCAGGGAGATCATGCCAAACTAATCTTATTGATTTTTTTGATTGGGTAACTAAAATTATAGATCAGGGTGGTGCAGTAGACATTGCTTACCTAGATTTCAGTAAGGCTTTTGACACTGTTGCACATAGAAGGCTTATCAATAAACTGCAATCTTTAAGTTTGGATTCCAATATTGTTGAATGGGTAAGGCAGTGGCTGAGTGACAGGCAACAGAGGGTTGTAGTTAATGGAATATATTCGAAGCTTGGACTTGTCACCAGTGGGGTACCTCAGGGATCTGTACTTGGACCCATTCTCTTTAATATTTTTATTAGTGATATTGCAGAAGGTCTTGATGGTAAGGTATGTCTTTTTGCTGATGATACTAAGATATGTAACAGGGTTGATGTTCCAGGAGGGATAAGCCAAATGGCAAATGATTTAGGTAAACTAGAAAAATGGTCAGAATTGTGGCAACTGACATTTAATGTGGATAAGTGCAAGATAATGCATCTTGGACGTAAAAACCCAAGGGCAGAGTACAGAATATTTGATAGAGTTCTAACCTCAACATATGAGGAAAGGGATTTAGGGGTGATTATTTCTGATGACTTAAAGGTAGGCAGACAATGTAATAGAGCAGCAGGAAATGCTAGCAGAATGCTTGGTTGTATAGGGAGAGGTATTAGCAGTAGAAAGAGGGAAGTGCTCATGCCATTGTACAGAACACTGGTGAGACCTCACCTGGAGTATTGTACACAGTACTGGAGACCGTATCTTCAGAAGGATATTGATACCTTAGAGAGGGTTCAGAGAAGGGCTACTAAACTGGTTCATGGATTGCGGGATAAAACTTACCAGGAAAGGTTAAAGGATCTTAACATGTATAGCTTGGAGGAAAGACGAGACAGGGGGGATATGATAGAAACATTTAAATATATAAAGGGAATCAACACAGTAAAGGAGGAGACTATATTTAAAAGAAGAAAAACTACCACAACAAGAGGACATAGTCTTAAATTAGAGGGACAAAGGTTTAAAAATAATATCAGGAAGTATTACTTTACTGAGAGGGTAGTGGATGCATGGAATAGCCTTCCAGCTGAAGTGGTAGAGGTTAACACAGTAAAGGAGTTTAAGCATGCATGGGATAGGCATAAGGCTATCCTAACTATAAGATAAGGCTAGGGACTAATGAAAGTTTTTAGAAAATTGGGCAGACTAGATGGGCCGAATGGTTCTTATCTGCCGTCACATTCTATGTTTCTATAACATGTATTTGTAACCAGACAAGTTTGACACACAGAAACAGAGGGGTTGATGGCCCTGCTCAATGAGATTACATGCTAGAGGGAGTGGGGTAAAGTGACACAAAAGGTAAGGGAAGTAGATTGGTAGAATGGTATTCAATGAAGACTTAGTGTGGGGGTTTTTTTTGGGGGGGGTTGGGTTTGTTTCTTTTTTGTTTTTTACTGACAGTTGCAGGAGATGAATCAGTTGGGAGCCATTAACAGTTTAATTGATATGCTTGATTTAGATTGCATCAATGCAGAAAGATTGCTAATTGTGAATCTCAACATGTATGTTCTTCAGTTACATACATGTCAGTGATAAGCAGCACATCATACTCTAGTCTGTTGGTAGAAGTCAGAATGAGAATTGGCAAAGAAACCTAATGTGTAAATTGAGTTACAATCTATTTAAATAAAGGAAAGTGATGCTTCTAACGTGTTATAGTACGCTAACAAGAGTTGGAAGACCACAACATTTTTGTTACTTACTGCGAGGTATATGTTTTCTTTGATTTTTTTTGGGGGGGTCTTTATGAAATCAAGAGTGAGGTAAAATCTTATGGCTTGACTGGCTTAACATTGTATTAACTATCATATGTATTAACTATCATACTAATTTATTTTTTTGGTTTTGGGGTGTTAGACACCTTTTGGTTAACGTTTATATACTTGGTGATTTTCTTTATCTTTGCATAAGTACTTTTTATTTGAGGTGTTGAGTTGATAGCTGGCTGCTCAAATTCTTCTACAATCATTTTGATGACTTTTGATTCATGCATAGGATAGATATTGACATGTTGTTCTCACAATGGAATCACATTTTGCAACACTATTACTAACTATTGCCATTTTTGTTGATCTTAAGTTAAGGATTAGAATTAAGGTGATGGGGTGTAACAGCAGATTCAGTGCACCTGTAATGTGAAAAGAAACAAGGTAGTTTGCTAAAAAAAAAAAAAAACTTTATAGGTAGAGTAGTTTTCATTATAGTGAGTTACATGTGTGGCATCTTTTTATTAGTAGAGTAGAATTGCACCCTACTGTCGATGAGGAAATATTTACAACAGTGTTATGAAGGAGGCAAACAAAATATTGTTGTATATTCTCTCCCTTATCTCTAAGTTCTCATGCCGCAGCCACTTAAATGATATGGAAGTAATTTGACAGGTTTGTCTTATAAGAGAAGAGTGTGTGTCATTTGGTAATCATGTTTAAGGGCACAATTAGTGGTAGTGCAACTGAGCATTACATACTAGGCAGCCAACCCCATTAGATTATCTTCCGCAGAGCTGGAAAACACAGAGCTTCTAGAGGAATCATGGCCAGACATGTATAGTCTTCAGATTGATATCACAGACCATTTGGGTATTCATGGCATTGCCATTATCCCTAGTTAAGAGGATGTGGGGCCAACTCAGGGTGTGACAATTGAGTCTTCCTTATAGTCAATTGAATACCTGAGACATGAGGTTCGCCAAGGATAGCATAAACTTCTTATTGCAGTGCCCCCACTCTTCTGTGGTACATGGGAACATATGTAGTCTTGGACACAGGCTATGAATACTGCAATCATCTCAAGTAGGATCTTTGAGAAACTTGACTGTTACACATCTAACACAATGCCCTTAGATGACTCTAGTAATAAAGATGCTATGAAGTCAACGGCATGCTGCATTGTGACCATCCATTGTGTCAACATTAGATCCTTTGATTTATGTGTAGTATTTTGTTATGGTGTATGCATTATAGATACATTTAAACATTTTAAGACATTTTAAGATTGAAATGTATGTATGTTGCCCCTGTAACGTGCAAGTATGTGATCCATGTGTGTGTGTATGTATGTTCATTCTGCAAATACTGGAAATTTTCAGTGTAAAATGTGTTTATTCCCACTTGTCAAGTTAAATAACCGAGCAGCTATTTTAACCACAACCACCCCAACCCCCGATTATTTTGCAATACATTCAAAACATTATTGTAACTCAATTTTTGAATAAAACACATATATATCTTGACAATTTTTCCAAGAGTGTGTGTGTGTGTTTGAGTGTGTGTATGTGTATGAGTGTTTGTATGTGCGTGAGTGTATGTATGAGTGTATGTGTGTGAGTGAGTGTGTGTGTGTCAGGGTGTTTGTGAGTGTGTGTGTCAGGGTGTGCATCTGTGTATATCCCAATGTTCAGCGCTACGCAATGTAATGGCGCTATATAAATAATAAAATAATAATTATATATACATATACATGTCAGTGTGCGTCTGTGTGTGCGCACACATCTGTGTATGTGCTTCTGTGTGTCAGGGTGTGTATCTGTGTCATGTTGTGGGCATGTATAAATGTTTGTGTGTGTCAGGGTGCATGTGTGTACATGTCGGTGTGTATCTATGTGTGTGTATGTGAGTATCTATATGTGTGTATGTGTCTGTGTCTATATGAATTTGTGTGTATGTGTTGGTGTATTTATATGCATCTGTGTGTTAATGTGCATGAATATCTGTGTAAGTATGTATGTATGTGGTAGTGTATGTGCATACATCCAATTAGGCAAACAACAGCACAACATACAAGCACACTCCTGCAATCTAACACAAATATTACATACAAACACACCCCTTCACTCAAACACAAATACTTCACACAAATGTGCATCCACATTTAAAAGTGAACATTACATTCAGACACACCCCTGCAATCAAACGCAAACATTACATACAATCACACCCCTATATTAAAACACAATAAATGTATACAAGCATCCCTTCAAACACCAATACTGTACATTACACTATAGCGCCAGCAAATGCCGCAGCGCTGTACAGATATACAAACTAGAAATTTTGACTTGGGGTGCCTTGGAAAAATACTGAAATATTAAGGGCGTCTTGAATCTAAAAAAGTTTTGGAACCACTGCTTTAGACACTTGAGTTTGCAATTGTAGAAATATGGAAAACCCCTGAACTATTATCTGCACTGATCAATCACAACATTAAAACCACTGACAGGTGAAGTTAATAACATTGATTGTAATGTTACAATGGCACCTATGAAGGAATCGTGAATGGTGAATGGTCAGTTCTTGAACGTGAATGGTCAGTTCTTGAATTTCATGAGTTGGAAGCAAGGAAAATTGACAAGTGAAAAGATCTGAGTGTCTTTGACAAAGGCCAAATAGTGATGGTTAGACAGTTGGGTCATAGCATCTCCAAAATGGCAGTTCTTGTGGGGTGTTCCTTGTACACAGAGGTTAGTACTCGCCGAATCAGCATCAGGACCATGGATGCCCAAGGCTCATTGATGCACGTAGGGAGTGAAGGCTAGCCCGTCTAGTCCAATCACACGGAAGAGTTACTGTAGCTCAAACTGCTGATAAACTTAATGCTAGCCATGATATAAAGGTATCAGAACACTCCTTATGAAACACACCAAACTGCATTGTAGTTTGCTGCTTATGAGGCTGCATAGCCACTACAACCCACCTGAGCCACTTCCTTTTATTTTTTTCTTCGCTATCCATGCCTCTCCTTGTCCAAGCATGGGATAGTGGAAACGGTCACCTTACTCCTCTGCTGCTTTAGCTCAATGTTTTTCTTTCTCATTCACTACTGTTCTCACACATACTTTTTGCTCTTCTCTTGCATTATTTTGTTCTTTATTTTCCTAGTTTTCCAGTTGAGAGGCTCTCTTTCACAATCTTGTGCCACTTTATATACCCCTTTATATACTACTTCTTTTTAACCTCACTATTCTGGCAACCTTGTTTTTGGGTACACATTTTCACTAATGTTTTTGCTCTAAACGCTGCATATACTCCAACAGACACACTGACAGGGTTAATCACTAAAGTAAGAATTCTAAATTATTTGCTAATTTGAGACCAGAGTATCCAAATTGAAGGCAAAATTAAATTTTTCCATTTCAGATATTTTCACCTTAAATTTTAAATTCACTTTGAATTCTAACTGTAGTGGATAAACCCTGACAGCGTTATCTGAGTTATCCCATTGTTCTGAATTCCAAATAATGTCCACTCTACCTCACTGTGAATGTTGGCATGAACTGCTAACTTGTTACGCTGTTGTTTCACAATATCATTTCATATTTCTATATATGAAGAACTTTGAAAAATCCAGAAAAGACATGCATTCCTAAACACCAGAAATAAAACAATGTGGTTAGTATAACTGGCAAGTTGGCTTATGGAGGTTTTTGCATGTTTTTGCATGTTTAATATAACAGTTGATAATTACTTGCCCCTCTATCTGTATTTTTTTAATGCATAATATAATGGCACAAAAACTTTATAAAAATACTCGTACCTGGAACAGTAATACATGGTGTTCATAACCTTAATGGTCCTAACACAATTATTCATTAAAGTGAAAATTGTTGGAGTTCCTAATACACTGAGATTTCTTTGATTTTCACAAATGTTGTTGTTATTGTGACACGTACATAGCTATTCACGAAAGTCAGAAATTCAAAGTGAATTCAAGGTGAATTTCAAATATAGGCTAAAATAGCCAAATTGGAAATTTCTCTAAATCATCCATGCTTCCATTTTGTCTGCTCTGATATTAAATTGAAATTCTGACAAGTCTCACTTTTGTGAACAGTCATGTACATGACACATACAACATAAATAACAAAAACATTTGTGAATGTCAAAGAAATCTCATTGTATTATTCCTGGTAAAACACATTGGGGTTCTCACTAAACAAATATTTGTGATGAATTGCCAATCTATTTGCTAAATTAAAGATATAATAGCCCAATTATTATTTTTCCAAATCAGCTACCTTGGCCTAAATTTTGCAGTTCGGCTTTGTCCTACTGTTTAGTGAACAAATCCCAATGAAAATAACAAATCTGCGTATTATTATTTTGTATCAGAAAAAAAAAATGAATCCTCTTTTTCTGTGGTTAGTTTAAGTGATTTTATATGTTCATCCCTCTTTTTTTTAACTCGCTGACTACAAAGAGCCAAATATAGAGTTTGTGAAGATTTATTATGCAGCTATCTTTGTAGTAAGTTGTCATACACCGTTTCTCAAGCAGTTATATGAGTGTGAGCGCACTTCTTATTGCAGACCATGATTAAGTCTGTCCACCCCCACCCTGAGCCTCAGCACTCATTGGCTTATCTTGAGGCAATGATCCAACTGATGAGTTTTGTTGATGAAAAGGATTGACTCTGCAATTGAATATTAATCCCAGCAGGGGATCCATCTCATTTCCAGTGAGAGGATGTGCCCAAATAAGAGTACCTCATGCTTGAAATGGAGATTCTCTTTTCATTGCCGATATCCTGTTTGAGAGAAATGGGGAAGATGTAATTTTTATCAAGACATTACTGTTGTGGTTTAAGAAGAAATACCATAACCTTATACAAAAAAATGCACTAAGGTCAACCATCCATGTTATGTTCAGAATATTTTATTTTTACTGTAACATGCAGTTTGGAATGAGGCATTTTTGCTATATTCAGTGCCTAGCAGGGCCGGATTAACATAGGGGCTGATGGAGCTGCAGCTCCAGGCATAAGTCATTTTTTTTTTTTTTTTTACTACTCTTCACATGCTCTTGCTTAAGTATGAAAACTTAAGAGGGATGTAGGGGAAGAAAACTGGTGTGGACTGGCTGACAATGAAATTAGTCAATGTAAAGCTGACTTTGCGCACTATGCAGATACACTTGCTGCTTCAGTCTCTCTAACACTGTGGCATGGTGCCTAGCATAAGAATTTACACCCCCTCCCCTTTAATATATCCAAATTTTGTAGTGCCACAACCTGAAATTAAAACAGATATTACTGGATTTGTCACCATTTATTTTACATAGCATGCCTTACACGTGCAAATTAGTTTCAATTCATTTCCAAAGAGTGATCAATGACAACATTAAAACCACTGACAGGTGAAGTTAATAACATTGATTGTAATGTTACAATGGCACCTATGAAGGAATCGTGAATGGTGAATGGTCAGTTCTTGAACGTGAATGGTCAGTTCTTGAATTTCATGAGTTGGAAGCAAGGAAAATTGACAAGTGAAAAGATCTGAGTGTCTTTGACAAAGGCCAAATAGTGATGGTTAGACAGTTGGGTCATAGCATCTCCAAAATGGCAGTTCTTGTGGGGTGTTTTGAAAAATCCAGAAAAGACATGCATTCCTAAACACCAGAAATAAAACCATTTTGAACCTTAAATTTTAGGACAAAAAGTTTTATTTTAAACCTCGTCAGATTCGAGAATGTCTTTTTTTTCCCACAAGTTTGTTTTTCCTGCAAGAATACTGTCAAACTCCAAACAGAAACTGATTTTTTTCAACAACAAATCCTTAGGTTCCTATTTACAATATAGAATGTCAAATGTATAGTTTGCTGTGTCATGATTTGCATATTTTATTAATCTTTTTAAACAGTTATCAATCTCAAAAGAGGATCCTGTGCTGTGCATAGTCAGAAAGTAAGAAATCTCAGTGATAAAGAAATAATGTATCAAAATGGTACTATTTTAATACATTATTTTTTATTATTTAGATCTGTTACTTTCTGACTATCTACAGCAGAGGATACTTTTGAGGCTGATAACTGTATAAAAAGATATAAAACTAACTACGTTTGGTGGACAACCTTTCCTAGAGTTTTTTATTTCCATTAATTATACTCATGAACATAATACAGGTAGTACTCAAGGTAATGTTCAAAGATTGGAAATCTCCAGAACGCAATCCCAACCTTGACAGCTTTTTAGTCTTTGTGATACTACTTGTTTAGATGTACTCTCCAACAAACTTTGAGGCCTTCTAGATGCAGGTGTATTTATTCTGAGACCATGTGATACTTTAATTGCACACAGATGGACAACATTCAACAAATCATGTGACTTCTGAAGGCAACTGATAGCACCAAAACTGTTTTAGTGATTTCAAACAAAACAATGGAGATTAATACTTAATCAACCAGCATTTTTTTTTTTTTTGCTTCATTAAATTAGTGACCTAGTTACCTAGTAATCTAGGTTGAATAAAATAAAGACTCAAGTCCATCAAGCTCAACCTTTGAAACAAATATTTGTGTGCTGTTGATTCAAAATATTAATGTGTCACAATAAGAAAAGGCTTGCATATTCTAAAAGTAATATATGTTGGAAAAACAGATGTTAAAAATTTTAATAAAAATCCAATTTAATTTCACATTTGAATGCAACAAAACATGGGAAAGACCAAGGTGAATATTATGCATGGTGGTGTATATTCCCAATGGGTGTATTAATATGTGTTTTGTGTATGCATCATTATGATAGGATACTTAATTAAAATATAATCAACACAGTCATTCGGCAAAAAATTAGAAAATTAAAAGAAAAAGATTGACGCTAAAATTATTCATATTGGTTTGTCATTAAAATCCACAGTGCTTTCATCTTTATCTTTTTTTTGGGGGGGGGGGAGGAGGAATTGCATAACAACCATTACAACTTCCTCTTGTGTTACTGTCTTGTTTTTGTGTGCTTTTACACGGTTTCTAAATGCTGTCGATAAATAATTTTTTGTATTGTAAATGCTGTTGATAAATCTTTATTTTTGTATTGTCAAGAAATAAATCTGAATTATTTATTAAATATTGATAAACAGGTGTAGTCTTGTGTACACTAAACTCAAATAATCACAATCAATTTGTGAAGTAAGAACGCAAAATTAATTAATAATAGGGTGCCACTATATACTCTATATATATATATATATATATATATATATATATATAGACACGCCACCTATATACCCACGTGTGATGGGTGAGAAAAAATATATAAACAAGAGTATGTGACCTTAAATAGGTACAGCTTCCCAAAGGGCCTTCCCAAATAGCAAGCCCTTTACAACACAATATAGATAAATACAAATATGGGATACAGCTGTGTATCTGCAAGATAAATTAACAACACTATGTACTGTGATATACAAGTAATAAGTGTGATATTGGTTGCACTCACAAGAAATCGATACTATGAGTGCCTTAAATCTTTCCCTTTAAGGGAGTTGAGATTGTAGTTACATCTGCTTTCCTTGGTGCCAAGAACTGATGGTTGTCCCAGAAAGGAATCTCAAGTGTCAGGATCAGGTTAATCAAGATTTATTTAAGGCAAAATAAGCCCATAAAATACAAAAACTATTTCTTCCACACAAAGGTATTTCTTCCACACAATGAGGACTTCCTCAGGGACAATAAGTAAATAAATATAGCATAAGACAATAAAATTGCATTCTAACATAATCCCCCCATAGTTCCTTTAAATAGGGCTAACTGCATATCTTGATAGGTGGATCCAAGGGTGTCTGCTGATTTCGGAGCTCCTAATAGGTTGCTTCTCCTCCAGTGGAAATCTGTCTGAAGAGGACCGCCCTTCTAACCCAGTCACGATCGATATCTCATCCAATTTTCGAGTCAGTAATTTCTTGGGCGCTGCTTGTGATCCTGCACTATGACAGATGCGTTCCACCATTGGCTTTCTGTTTCCACAGGAACACAGTCAATCGACAAAAAAATTAGAAAGTTAAAAGAAAAAGATTGACACTAAAATTATTCATATTGGTTTGTCGTTAAAATTCATAGTGCTTTCATCTTTATCTGTTTTACACTGTTTCTAAATGCTGTTAATAAATTACCTTTTGTATTGTCAAGAAATAAATCTGAATTATTTACTAAATGTGTACAAGTATTGATAAACAGGTGTAGCCTTGTGGACAATAAACTCAAATAATCACATTCCATTTCTGAAGAAAGAATGCAAAATTTATTTATAATAAGATGACACTATATACAACAAAGAATCAAAGATCAAACAATTAGTCTCTAAACATGAAAATAAATTAAACGAAGAAGACATAGATTGCCATCGTAAGAAAATCAATAAACAATTTAAAAATAGAATAAATCTATTGCATCAATTATTATATACTTGAGAAAGTTAGGCAACTAAAAACTAAGCAAGAATGATTATTTACAGGTTTGCTGAAATACAATATAATTAATGAAACAATGATCAGTGAGTAACAAAAATATATGAAAACAAAATAAAAACAACGTAACTATATTTTTATCCCCAGAATAAAATATAACAAATTCACTTTATTAAGGATTATCTGAGAGATGTGGCGTATTGAACAAATTATTGTTTTTAGAATGCTTGCCTAAACCAGGGCTGTCCAACCTGCGGCCCCATATATGTTGCTGAACTACAACTCCCATGATTCCCTGGCTCTCTGTTTCATTGAAAGAATCATGGGAGTTGTAGTTCAGCAACATCTGGGGGGCCGCAGGTTGGACAGCCCTGGCCTAAAGCATAAAGTAGAAATCACCTATTACTTATAATATAATTTCCACATACAGGCTGAGATCTCTCAAAGCTAATCTCATAATGGGAGTATTATGTGTGATGTCACATGTGCACATGAAGAGAGAGAGAGAGGAAGAGGAAGGAAGGAAGGGAATAGGAGGAAGATCATAGTGTGCAACTTTTCATTTACATTTTACACTCATAGGAAAAAGAAAGTACACCCTCTTTGAATTGCATGGTTTTACATATCAGGACATAACAATCATCTGTTCCTTAGCAAGTTTTAAAGTTAGGTAAATAGATCCTCAAATGAACAACAACACATCAACACATAAATATTACACTGGGTCATGAGTGTCCAAAATGGAGAAGCAATGTGGGAGAAACTAATTACACTCTTACTTTTTCCATATGAATTTAGTGGCTAAGTAGCAGACAGATGCAGAACCACTTCTATAAAAGCAAACGTTTTAGTAGTTTGCTGGTCTGGAGCATTCATGTATGTGTTAATACAATGCCAAGGAGAAAAGGCATCAGCAATGATATTAGAGAAGCAATAGTTGCTGCCCATCAAACTGGGAAGGCCTCTAAGGCCATTTACAATCAATTTAAAGTCCTTCAATCTACAATGAGAAAAATTATTCAAAAGTAGAAAACATTCAAGACAGCTGCCAATCTTCAAAGAAGTGGACATGGCAACATGGCTTAGGTTTGCAAAGATGCATCTGAACAAAGATCCTTTGGACAGAGAAGACCAAAGTGGAGATGTTTGGCCAAAATGCACAGTGCCACGTTTGTCAAAAACCAAACACTGCATATCAGCACAAATACCTCATAACAGCTGTCAAGCACGGGGGTGGAGAGATGATGATTTGGGTTTGTTTTACAGCCACAGGACCTATTAACCTTGCAGTCATTGAGTTGATCATGAACTCCTCTATAAACCAAAGTATTCTAGAGTCAAATGTGAGGCCATCTGTCCGACAGCTAAAGCATGTCGGAAATTGGATCATGCAACAGGACTATGATCCCAAGCACACTAGCAAAGTTACAACAGAATTACTGAAAAAGAAAAGAATCAAGGTGCTGCAATGGCCCAGTCAAAGTCCCGACCTCAATATGATTTAAATGACCTTCAAGAGAGCTGTGCATAAACAAATAACGGCAAACCTCAAGGAGCGTTGTAAAGAAAGGTGGGCCAAAATTCCTCCACAGCTATGTGAGAGACTAATAAAGTCATACGGAGAACAATTACTTCAAGTTATTGCTGTTACAGGTGGTTCTACAAGCTAGTGAATCATAAGGTGTACTTAGTTTTTCAGACATGACTTGACCATTAGTACTTTATTTTTGTTAATTAAATCATGATCATGGTGTAATATGTCCTGTGCTGTTGTTCCTCTAAGGTTGTATTTACCTAATTCTAAGGCCTGCTAAGGAACAGATGATTGTCATTATGTCCTGATATGTAAAAACATAGCATTCAAAGACGGTGTACTTTTTCCCCCCCATGACTGTATATCTGCACTCTTTTCATTTAGTACATTGTAACATTTGTTCTAATTCATTCTGACATAGTACATGCCAATATTGTGTATTTGCTTTATTAACACACCAATTAATTGTTTCAGTTGAATCAGGCTAAATTTAAGGCTGTGTATTGTGTTACATTTCTGTGCTGAGAAATAGCATCAATATAAACCTGCTTTATCTTTGTTGACTTTTTGTTACTTCAAGTAGATTTTAGTCTTTTCATCAGCCTTCAGATGTTGAAAAGAAAATGTGGCTTTCTGGAGCCTAAATGATTTGAAAAGACATTCTTGGTTGGCATGTATTAGATTGTGCCTGTGACTGTTGCTCTCTTGTATTGTTGCTGGTTTTTATCTTTTATATGAGGATACGCGTCCAGAAAAAGAGCTTCTGAATGTGTCAATAGAATAACATGAGTGCCATTTCTTCAGCAAATTTGGGGAAATTGAATCTACGACAATACAAGCCAAACAAAAAACAAATGAATACAGTTGGCTCTTTAATTCAGGCATGAGGAGGTTACATGTCAGCATTCATTTCATTCAGATCTCTCTTATCAGTAATGTATGGAAATCAAGCCTGCAATAAAAATGTGACAGCTTGTATGTAAAACACAAGCATTGCTGGACTGGAATGAAGAACTATACCTCAGAGAAGAAGGTTATCGGTTTAACATGCTGGCCTAATGCATTATAGGAAAAAAGTGGAAGGTACTTATTTTGTACACTTAAAGGTTTATAAACAAGTTTTGTTATGCAAAAAAGGGTCAGCATAAATTTTTAACTAGAGGTTTCTGAAATTGTTTGACTACTTAAAAAAAGAGGGTGCACCTGGGCACTCCTGCTACCATAACCACTACAGTGAACTGTTGTGATAATAGTTCCTTTAAAGCAAAGGTTTTACCATTCCATCAATAAACTACCATTCAGGTTACAAGAGCATTTAGCTCCCAAAGAGCTTATAGTGATCGATGCTTTACACTAGCCACCGGATGCCCTAAGCCTATTCATCTGTTACAATATGTCTTGTTGAGATGAGTTGCAAATTATTGGAGATATCAGCATTATAAAAAATAAATTTAAAAAAAATATATTTTTTTAAACATGTAAAATAGAGCAGTAGAGATATTTGCAAGTTCCTTTAGCTGGAGGTCAAGTACCAGATCTAACCATTGCTTCATTTATGTTTATTCATTAACTATGTTGGTAAAATTAATGGTAACTGTCAAAGGGACACTCAATACACTAACAAAATATTTATGTATTATATAACTTTTAGTCTAATAATTAGCTCTATTTTATTGCTAATTTAATTTGAATCGTTTTGACCAAAAAAAGGTTTGCTGCATTTTGCATTACAGCTGTGCCTCCTCTTTTGCATGTCCCATTCTAAAATACTCCTTTCTTGCTGGTTCCTAGACTTGAGCATGGCAGGATTGTTTAGTTCGGCCAAATAATTTTGACCAAAATTTAAATTTTGTTCTGAATGGTGCTCATTCATGTGACAGTTCGGCTCAGCCAAAATTCATTCGTGAAAAAAAAAAGATTCAGAGAAGCATTCGGACAAACCAAAAGGTCACTCAGTGTACTGCTAAATATACATTAAATATATAATGTAAATATATGTATATATTTTGACCTACACTGCACATTCTCCAGCCATTTGGTTCACAGCTCAAGTAAGACAAATAACTCTTAGAGGGAAAAAGAGGAGACGCAGTAAATAAAAATCTATATTTATAATTATATAAATATAAATATAGATCACTTCTCACATGATCTGTGAAGAAAATTAATATTTTCTAGCCATCAATCATATTTTTTCCCATTGATTATCACTTTTTTTTAGCTGTCACAGGCAGTTTCTTCAAATACCGGATGTTCAGCCATCATGCTAGTCCTTTGTTCGGGTCTGTATAGTTTTTCACTAATACGGAATATGGACAAAGAGTCAATAGACCCAAATTCGAATCCAAATGCACAAGTATACTGGTTCTTGTGCAAAGTGCTCCCTGCCTGTCTTTCGACTTCTCTGCTGCATTATCCAGAAACATAGATGTATATACCAATAGGAAACACAGCAAAGCTGAATGAAAGATGGAGTTCAGCTAACAGCTTATATAAGTAGAAAAATGATTACTGAAACATGAGATCCAGAGGCTGTGTACATAAAGCTTTGATTTCTGCTAATCAGCCCATTCTCGCTTCACTTTAATCCTTGCAGTGCTGGGTGAAATACAATTCAGACTTCGTAGGCCATCTTACTTTCTACTTCCTAGAACGGGCATTGCTCAAGACTGAGCAAAAAATGTTTTGTGGTTTACACAAATTTGAGGACCTACAATCGATTGGTTAAGGACAAGAAGGTTAGTTCTACTTGGAGAGGACATTGGAAGTGGCAGCATGGACTTACCATCTTTAGGCATCGGATGAGCAGCACATGGTCCCTGATTGCAGCTTAGCTGTGTTCGTTCTCATGTTCCCGGTGTACTATGCAGGACATACTCTTGTGCTGTTGCAGTATTTCATTTCACTACCCAGTGGTATTAAATCGCTGAGATAACCTTTTATTTTATTACTACCCTACTCTTATCCCTGTGGTGTAGTACAAGGTTCATAAATTATGATAAATTTTGTCTATACTGTGTTACCAAATCTAGCAATGCATGTCTACTTTACAATGTAAATGATGCCAGTACTCATCACAGGATAGAACCTAAAAAATGATCTGCAGAGATAGTGCCCATCTTGTTTCCCTTTCATTTTGTTTCTGTATAAAAAAAGCAACATTCTTGACATACCACACATTGTATTTTTGAAACTTCTATTGTCATATCAACTCATGTGGTATTGCTTACAAAAACTTGTCTGTTTTTCATTGCACTGCAAAAATAAAGAATGTCAAAAAAAATTGAGGACCTTAGAAAAGGTTTTTTTTTTTCCTTATATTTATAATATTATCTTTACAATGTGATATTTAAAAATGGTTTCATTGCAATCCGAAGTGTCCCTTTAATGTGTTTGGCTAGACTGTAAACTTGAAGTAACAGGGCCCTCTATCCTTCTTATCCAGTAAGTAGCTTCACGTTTGTTATGTTAAACCTAATGTAATGTCTATTAAACATCAACGTGTCTGTAAATTTGTAGATTTATGCAACAGAAATCTGCTAGGGCTCTATATAAAAATAAAATAATTATTTTTTTTTTCTATTGAAAGTTTGGATCTGTGTTGTTACATCATACAAATCGTTTAATCTTCAGGGCCAGTATTCTATTTTTTGTAGGAATATTTCACAACAAACATATTCTGTCTCAGCCTATATAAAATGAAACTATTCGATGCAATCAAGAACAGAGTAAGGAAACATTCTCTCCATTCGCTGTAGCAACCATCCAATCCTAATTGATTTTTTTCTCCCTGCACCTTTTCTCCCTTCCTTTGCTATATTTTTGCTCGTCCTCCTCTTCCTCTCTCCTTCTCATCTCAAATCTTAATTTTCTTCTAACTGATTGCATCTCTTGCAATGTTACTTCATATCACTCCTTATTCTGTCATTTAATGCAGACTCTACCTTTCTCTACCTATCGCACACAGGCACAGCTTTAAAAACGCAAGTATTTCATGAAGATGGATGTTGAATCATGCACATTTTCAGAGCTGCCTGCAACAAATCACCTTTACCATTTAGAACTATTTCTGTGTGTTTGGCATACAGACTAATCATACGGTATTATAAATAGAGTGATGTTCTACTTTTCCCTCCCTAATCACCATGTACGAATTTCACATGATTTTAATGAAACATATCACAGCCTCTGTGCAAGTGGAAGCATTTCTCCAAGATTATGGTATATTAGACTTGGCTATTAGATGACTTTGCCGGGAATGAAAAATATACATTATTAACATGAAGGCTGTCATACCATGTTTAAAGTCCATGCCATTTCTGTGTGGCATCAGAAATTTATTTGCAGGACCAACTATTTTAAGTAAAGCTCTTTTTTCCCCTGCTGAGTTGACCATGTTTTTGAATTTATGAAGAAAGATGTTTTAGAAGAGCCTCCCAGGGGTCTCTCATCAGCTTTAAATCTCAGATCTCTTCCCCTTGCAACACTTCATGACACAAAGCATGCCAAAACAGCTTCCTTTTGCTTATGCATTAGCAATCTATTTTACCTTTTTGACATCTCTCACACATAAAACCGTAAGAGAGAAATAAAATATATGTCTCTTGGTGAAAATAAAGCTTTGCCTCCCTCCTGATCTATAGGATATAAAATAAAGCCCTGCCTTTGATAGTGGCTTTCCCTTATTCTGGAGTTGCCTTTGCACATAGGGAGAGAATGAAGATGGATTAGGGGGAATTGGCTTACTCCCATGGGGGCTTTTTTTTACCCTCTCTTATTATATATCCTTCCTTTTCTTACCTTGTTTATATATATATTTATTTATTTATTTATTTGCCTTTTATTTGTCCTTTAAGTTTTCTTTTTTTGTTTTCTGTGTCCAGAGTAGAAGCTCCGTTGTACAAATTCTTTGTGCTCTAGTCACCAACTTGTTTAAAAATACAGTTCCAGTTCATTTGCTTTGAAATGCAATTACTGATTTGCATATGTATTATCGATGTTCAGAGCCATTTTTTATGTTAACATTTAAGTGCGTAATTTCCATTCTCTATTTTTGGAGGCCGGTCGGAGAATTTCCACCCTGATATGATGTGTATGTGTAAATTATCTTATAGCATAACGTACTAAGATTTCTCCATTATAATGTTTTTGATGTTGTTGTCATCTTCTATGGGGAAAAAATGGGCCATTTACATAAATGCATGTTAAATATGATAAGCCAAGTAAATTTTGGGTGTTTGTAAAAAAAATGCTTGTCAGTTTAGGCATTACTGGTAGCCGCAAAATTGAGAATCCTCAAATCCAGTCAATTTTATAACAACATGTATTTTTGTTAATTCATATTTCTAGTAATATTTCATATGTCTTGTTGCTCATTCTATGATTCTGTGGAATTTACTAGTGACACATTATGAAAAATGGTCATAAAAAATTATTTTGAGTATGTGGAATAGCAATCTTAACCGTGCCGACAGAGCTCTAAGTATCACTGTTCGTCACTCACCTTCCTTGTTCTTCCTAGGAATTGCTCCTCACTTCTGCTATCATGACATCATTCTACTACCATCTCCAAGATTGCACTTATCCTCTGAAATTAATCTTCTAACTCTGTCAGACTTTCTCCTACATTCCATAACTTTCAACATTCTATGAAAATTCAATTTTCAAAATACTTCCCCATCTATAATGCAGAATTCAAAAATGACCAGTCTCTCGAAATGTTCCTCAAGGTTTTTTAAAGTAAATTGATTAGAAAGATCAATATAACAGTTAAAATTTTTAACAGATCAAGTTAAGCAGTTAAAAAATAAAATAAAATAAAGGTCTTCAAGACCTCCAAATAACCTGATAACCCTCTTTTCACACCTGCAATAAACAGCCTTGTGTTGATTAATGATGTTTCAAGCAGGTGGATATCAAAATTTCCACCCATTTTCTCCCCCTCCCCCACCTTTTTGATGCAATGTTTTAAAAAAGGACAAAACTAAACATCCTAACAACATAGGTTATGGAAATTGGAAACCTGTTGTTATGGTCTTACACAGGGCCACCATCAGAAATTTTGGGACCCCTAACACAGCTCAAGATCTGGGCACCCGGGTGCCCGCCTCCAAGCCCAAGCTCAAATCTCGCCCCAGGGCCCAACTCCACACTCACTGATACAAAAAGGACACATATACACACACAAAGATAAACACATACTGACACACACTCATACACACCAACAGACAAACATACTGAAACAGACATATACACATAAAGGCATACATACTGAAACAGATCCACAGACATACATAGTGACACACATATAAGGGGCATGCTGGCCCCCCGATTAAACATTCCTCAAGTTCTTCATTAACCTGAAACTTGTGTCTGGTGTGAATTACTTCAGGAGCGTGCACGCATATACTTAATAATTTGGACAGGGGCAGATTTTCAAATAATCAAACCTTTGATTTGATCTACAACAAATAGTTGAACTTGGATATGATATCAATATGTACATGCATACAGGACCAATATATACAGCTGTCTGGTAACCTGATTATTAGAAGGACTTTCGTTTAAACCAAAAGGTCATCCATTTAGAGTTGAAAAAAAGAGATTTTGCCTACGGCAAAGAAAAGTGTTCTTGACAACAAGGTGTGGAATTCTCTGATTAAAGAGTTTTTTGGGATTTTTTAAGCAGATTCTGTGTATATATTAAACAACATCTGGATATTATTTGGAAAAATTAAACAAATATATATTATTGAATATGTGGAGAGATAAATCTGACTGTGATTTTAATGTCAGTAAAAATGTTTGCCTATGTTGTGGTACAATTGAAATTAATTTTAAATTGAGTTTTTCACTTCTTTTGAATCAAAAACAGTAACAAATGTTACTTGATGGACCTGTGTCTTTTTTCAGCCTATATCACAGTGCAATTACCAACAATCCCAGTATTTTATCTTTGGGTCTTATTGACAAGAAATTGATTTAGTACAGGGTTATGGGAAATAAAAGTTATGGCTACATTTTGATAGGAAATGGCATGTTATCACATAAGCTGAGCAAAACAAACTTATGATCACTATAAATGTTTGGGGAACATGGCTTTTTCCATCAAATATACTAGCAATTCATATTCTTGCTTATTGCTGATGTTATGTTACAAATGCATACTTTCTCCATAATTAACTGTAGTGACCCGAGTGAAGTTTGGTTAAATTATTTTCCCAATTACCATGAAAAGGTTCTAATATCTACTGTGCCATGGGTGTGGCCATTCCTTTCCCCATCTTGAGCTAATTTAAAGAAATTAATTTAAGATTAGAATTGCAGAACCTTTATAAACACCTCTTGGGCCTGAAGATGCCTTATATGGAGCACATATGCAATATATACACACCTACAAGGAACAGTTAAATAAAATCCCAGTTTCCCAAACACCCCCATGCTGGTAAGTCAGAGGAAATACAAAAAGGTAACTAATTGATCTTTCTAACTAGATAAATAGCAGTCAGGGATGGGATGATTAGGTATGAGAGGCATTGAAGCAAAGTTTTTTTTCCAAGTCATCAGTATTTACTGTACATGTTATTTTTTATTCTACTGGTAATTTGGGAATCTGAATGCTCTAAATTACCTAGCTGATTCCTTCAAATAGCAATGAACAGGGTATTTACACTTTTTTATTTATATTTTAGTGTCACTGTTGTGTCACACATTTACACTAATGTTTCTGAATTGAACTAATATTTGTCAGAGACAATGAATGCTGAATAATTAATTATCAGTTACCTAGTAGTTTTTTTAAAGGATCATTTATTAATTTTAAACAATTTTGACTGACAACCCAGTCACTCATCTGCCACCCGACTAATGCTACAGTGAATGTCCGCATTACCCTATTGAAGTTTGTCAGGCAATCTGGGCTAACAAACCTCTAGTATTCTCAGTGTATAATTGCCTCTATTTTTTGTCAAACTGCTACAAAAAGTCTTACATTTAACATGGCATAAATGCATGAAAATTACTTCCATTGTGATATAATAGAAAGGCTTAATAACTTCTCTTTACAATTTTATATAAATTATTTATTTTTATGCATCCCATTTTAACTCCTTAAGGACACATGACAGAGTTATTTAATTGTGGTTATCTTACCGTCAAAGTCCCATGAAAGCATAATTCAGTCTTATGCATCCCATTGCACAAAATATGGTGTTTAGAGTTAAGGTTAGTGTTTAAGGGTTAGGGTTGGTGGTATGGTAAGAGTTAGCATTATAAGTAATATTAGGGTTATGGTTGACATTTGCATTTGGATTGGTGTCAGGGTTGGCAACAAATATTCACTTTTCTCTTTAAAAAAAAAGAAAAAACGTTAACTAATTTGGCCTGGTATCTTTGTATAAACTTGGCAAAGGTATAAATGGAGGGTATTGTACTCAGGAGATGTAGCCGAGTATAGTATAGCAAATTTTACTGCAGTAGCACACATGAGATTTAAAATTATCTCACTTGGACAACAAAGTTTGCTCCACTGAGGTGCTACCTGTATTGGGGACCATAGGTAAACATTGCCCATAATCTAGGAGACCAAATGGAGGCCATACCCAAGATATTGGCCTCTTGCTCTCCCAGTCATTCAGGCCTAAATGGCAGACCTGACGCCAGACTCACCTGATAGCCAGGACCAGGTTAAGAGCTCATTGGGCCTAATTACAGCATCTTATCAATAGAAAACACTAAAATAGGCATACTTTCCAAGTGCCCTGTATCTGGTGGAGGTGGTGCTGGAAGAAAACCCACAGGATATAGCTATAAGAAAACACATTCCCAATGCTAACCTCTCGCTTTCATCTTTCAAGTAAATCCATATCTCCTAAAAACAGTGTCCGGTGAAGCAGGATTTCAGCAACGAACATGCCCAAAAATAGAGCGGGGCTCCACGAAGAATTAGAAGGTCAGCCTGGCATAAATGCATTCAGGCATCCTGCCAATCTTGCAGGCTAGCCAACTAAGAGCATTATATGCAGATGGCACCCTGAGCCTGGCATAAATGCATCTAATGATGCGCTTGATCCACGCTTTCTGAGGACTGTCCGCTATCACTCACTTGTCCACTTCTCTTCTTATCTTATTACTTGCAGGCAGAAGCTCCCGGTATATAGCTTTGGACAGAGAAAATGTGTATGTAGTGAGTGTAAACCAAAAGGAACATGCCACCGTGTTAAAGAGACTGAAGAGCATTTGCACAATGTGTCAACTATACCTTAATTAATTTTATTGTCAGCCAGTCCACACAAGTTTTGTTCCCCTGAATCCCTCTTAAGTTTCCATACTTAAACAAGAGCATGTGAAGAGTAGTAAAAAAAAAAAATATATATATATATATATATATATATATATTTATTTATTTTTAAATGAATGGGCCTTTTCCATGGGCATGTGCCTGGAGTTGCAACTCCATCAGCCCCTATGTTATTCCAGCCCTGCTGATGGCTCTGCATTGGCCTCAGATGAGGAGGACCTGGAGCCAATGTAGATTCAGCCACAATTCCGCAGTTTTAGAGCTTTTTTCCCAGCGGCAAACCCAACCCAAAATAGGCCAAAATAACAGATAGCATCACAATGGTGACAGATATGAAGGCCTTCTTTGTCTCAGAATTGGTGGTCTGAGGAAGGAAGATATGAGCACATTGGCCGGCAGAAAAAAAAGCCAGGAGGAAGATATTCACAGCCTTGGAATCAAGCAGGATTTGAAAGCAGTTCAACTACAGGAGGTGTCGAATGTGCAGTGCTGAGTACTAGGATGAGGCAGCTAGAAGATATTGCACGGCAACGCAATCTGAAAATTCGAGGTATCCCTGAAATGACCAACTATTAAGCTAACCTCAGTATCCAACATGGACAGTTTTCTACAATCTTTGGGACTGGCTACATCTACCACTTCTAGGTTGAGCAGACCTACTCACCAGTGGGATGTGGATAATGTTGCTGATTTCACACCTGTTGGATCTACAGCCCCAGGTTGAAGCGATCACTGGAATTGCCCTTCTGAACAAGATCCACATTAAATGTGTCTTTTTATTGTTGATTTTGTTTTCAAATGCTGCATTTTCATTGGTTTTTAATTGTTTTATGCTTTTGTTCTGGTGTTAGGGAACCTCTTATACTCAAGCTGGACTTAAGTGTGCTTTAATTATTAACAACAGACATTATTATTATTATTATTATTATTGCCATTTATATAGCGCCAACAGATTCCGTAGCGCTTTACAATATGCAGCCTAAAGATGCTCATTGGTGATTAACGCTTTATGTAAGCTCTCCTGCAGTAGGCATTCTGGTATTTACATTAACTCCTTACTATATCTTATACAGATCTCATGGGATCCCAGCAACATGAGCTCCCACTCCATTCTGAGGCATTTGAATAAATGCAATGGGTAGTTTTCATTCAGGCATCTTTTTAGAAACTAGACATGGCCTAGGTTTTGTGCCTTAATAGTCAAATGAGACTTGGTAATAGACATGGGCAAAGGCAGTTTTAGTGACCAGCAGTAATATTCTTCTAGCCCAACGGATGCTTTACTGGTTTTATACCTATGGAGCACAGATATAGTTTACCTTGTAGACTGTATTTCCTTTTAAAGACTACAGGTCTCCACTGTGAATCTGTGTTTCTTGGCATACAGTCCTGCCTATTTAGACTTGGGTTCCCCTCAATGCATTCCCATTCCCAGATTTTATTGTTTTTGTTTTTGTTTGTTTGTTTGTTTTTATTGCCTCAGACGTTTGCCATGGCTTGTGCACCTTCTTCTGTAGGCTAGCTTTTACTCAAACCAAAATGTACGCTGTAAATAAATATAAAACTCTGTGTAGATTCAAGACAAGAATGTTCAATTTCACTCTCATACAACTTTATGTCTTATGTTTACTGTGATGTAATATTTTGCATGCAAAAATAAAGATTTTTTTTTAAAATACCCAGAAAAATACAACGTGCGCATAGATATTAAATGAAAAGTAATACCACAAATTTGGAAGAAAATGGTAAAAGAAAAAGTGCACCTCAGTTAAACTCAATAGATATAATGTGAGAGCCCCTATGGTGTCCACATTTGCATATAGTATGCATTGATTCAGCAATTTAAATGTGAACATTGCTAAAATTATATACTACATAAATATATACTGTAACTATATAAAACATCCCAAAATGCAACATACACAGACCTTAACTTAAAAAAGGTAAAGGAGGCATGTTATTAATTCAGCCCTGTATTTTCAAAAAGACTTGACAAAGGAGCAAGTAGGATTTGTACTTAGGAGATATAGTTGTTCACAATATAGTGCTTTTTATTAAAATAGCAAATGTCACATTTCCAAAAATTAACCACTAACTTGCAATGTGCATGTAAAAGAATGCAAAAATAAAATAATACCACAAACATAGAAAGAAACTTGTGACAAAAATACCTGTGCAAGGTTAAAATATACCATATGGCATACCACATGGTTTGTACTTTTGCATCAGGTAATTTGAGTTTGTGAAGTACTAAAATACACCACAAAATGAGACCCATGCCTTGCAAATCTATCAGTCAAATTTATACATTTGAAAATTGAAATGGGGATATATCTTATTTGGCCATATAACTTCAAATCTATAGCTCTTGTATACATATAGGGTATTGTCGCACTCAGGAGCTCTAGCTGAAAACAATATGGGGAGGCTAGTAAATCTTCAAACTTTGAATAAACATGTTGAAAAAAATGCTCCATCATTAGGCTTATAACACACAATGGCCTCTATTTAATATTTTTGTATAAGGTTTTCACATGATCACAAAATCGACAGTTAATCTCTATATTCTTACTTGGTTCTGTACAGGTAGTGAAGAGACTACCTGTTGGTTTTCTGAACTCAGGTGTATATGTATATTTGGCTAAATTGGAATAAAACAAAGGTATAGGCCACCCAAGTGCAGTGAATGTAAAAGCAATAAAAAAGGTGATTACCCATTTTTAGATGTACAGTATAACAGAAGGATTCCTCTAAATCCTCATATATAAATAACAAGAAAAATATAGCTAAAAACATAGAATGGAAAAAGAACTCATAGGGTAATAACGTTATATTGAGGAACCCCCGGCATTTAAGGTTGCACTCACAGAGTAGCAGAAAATTCAGGCTCATCAGTCATATGTAGATTCCACCAGATTCAATAATGTTCACAAATCCAAGGATTCATGTGAAAATAAATTAAAAGGACCATAGTGCAACACTGATATAAGATAAAAAAATAAACGCTTTAATTGTCACACTTACAAAATGGAAGTAGATAAAAAGCCCATCAAATGTAGTCTCCAGTCCAAATCTCAGCGATATGGGTAACTGGAAACCTCACAAATATCGTAGGCTGAACAGAACAGCAACACAAAAAAATATATAAATCAAAATCAGAAACTCACTCTACGCGTTTCGTCTAATACATATAGACTTTTTCAGGAGTATAGAAAGTGCTGGTTAGTGCATAAATAAAGTGCTGCAATATGTAGAAACCGGAGCTTTTTCTTTTAAATGTCCCTCTTTCGGCTGTCAGACAATCCCTTCTCTTCTTCACATGTGTTGTAACTTGTTCCGATGGATGTGATCTATATATGGACTTCTGGTAGTTCTTTTGTGACTAAATGGCTACTAAAAAAGACTAAACTTACCCCACTTTCAATACCTTGGGTTGTTTACTTTTTCAAATGGTATGCCATTATGGGAGTAATTCTCATTCCTGGGCTACCACACCGTCTCAAAGGTAACATTACTAATTTGGCAAATTTCAATTTGAAAATGGAACGTTCCATATTTGACCCTAATTCTTTAATTCTTTAATATGAATAATTTATATGAAATGTTATCGCATAAGCAAAGGCATAAGCAAACATTTTTTGACATATCTGTTATTCCTTTTACTGTTCAAAAGGCCCACTTTAATGAGGAAGCATGTAAATGGACATTGAGAAAAATGCAGGAAAAAATATATATATTACAAATGTATAATGCAAGTTGATAATCTTCCGATTGTTGAATTTGGATAATCATCAGTATAAACTTAAAACTCGATACAATGACCAGAAAACAGAACTAAAATAATTTGGCAGCTGTCTTTATAATGCACTCTGCTTACAGAAAGGAAATAAAAAGGCATGATACCGATTTGTGAATTTTACATTTGTATTTGACCAAGTAATCTACAATTTCTGCAAACTAAACTTCACTGAATATATACAGTTCCGACTTTAGGACACTGATAACATTGATTAACTGGCAGGGATGGACTGACAGTGGCCTGGGCCCCCAGGCAAAATTAGCACCTGGGCCCACAGCAGACCAATATATATGCTGGTGTAGATGTACCGTGTATTTGTTTGTATGTACATGTAAAGGGAATGTATGTTTCTGTGTGTATATTCACTGTGAGCCCTGCTGTAAGTGTATATATGTATGTCTCTGTATGTAGTGTCAGGATGTGTGGATTCAGAGAATATCTGAATGCATGTTTTTGGTTTTGTAAAAAGGGTTGTATTAATTTTATGTGTGTTTGTGTAGCATGGCAATATGTATAAGGGGGTATTTGTGAATTTTGGTAATGTGTTTGTATGAGGTATGCAGGCCTCCAAATTTTGTGTCTGAAATTACAAACCAAGTATTAAATGTTACGAGCCACCTTAAAGGAACACTATAGTGTCAGGAATGCAAACGTGTATTATTATTATTATTTTATTGTTTATTTAGTGCCAGACAATTCCGTAGAGCTGTACAATGGGATCCAGACACTATAGGTTTATAGACCCCCATTAAAAAGGTTATTTACTCACCATTTTTTCAGCGCTGACCAAACTTCACCTCCCCTGCCTGCCTCCTTGGCGGAGTTCATCACTTTAGATTAAATCAGCCAATTGAATGCTTTACCACAGGAAAGCACTGGAAGGTGATTGTGCACACAGTGGCAATCATCATTTCCTCATAGAGATGCATTGAATCAGTGCTTCACTATGACAAGCGTTCAGAGTCTCCATGCAGAGCGTGGTGGAGATGCTGAATGTCCGTGCTGCACATTTTGCAACACTGACACAGTAAGCACCTAAGTGTTCCTAGGCAGCAATGTAAACACTGCCTTTTCTCTGAAAAGGCAGTATTTACATCAAGAAACCCTGCAGGGGCAGGCTATGCTCACCAGAACAACATTAAGTTGTAGTTATTCTCATAACTATAGTGTCCCTTTATGCTTGTGTGTGCAAAGGGGTAGAGACTGCAGAGGGTGCCAGGAAGAAGGTGCAGTAGAGAGTGCAGGGGGAAGGGGGTGCAGAGGGACAGGCTGTATAGTGGGTGCTTTAGAGGGGTTTTAGAGGGTGCAGGGGGGTAGGGACTGCAGAGAGAGCGGGGGTGGGGACTGCAGGGGGAGCAAGGGGATAGGGGCTGCAGAGGGGGCAAAGTAGTAGGGATTACAGAGGGAGCAAGGGGGTAGGGGCTGCAAGTGGTAGGAACTGTAGGGGGTAGGGGCTGCAGGGGTTAAGGGCTGCAAAGGTAGCAAGGGGGTACAGGCTGCAGAGGGAGGAGGGGTAGGAGTTGCAGAGGGTGCAGGTGGGAGGGACTGTAGAGGGTGATAGGGGGTAGGGGTTGTCAGTAGTGCTGAGGGGAATAGAGTCTGTAGTGGGTGCAGAGGAGACAGGCTGTAGTGGGTGCAGAGGGAAATAGCAGCTGTAGTGGGTGCATAAGGGATAGGGGCTGTAGAGGGTACCTGGGGATAGCGGCTGTAGTGGGTGCCTGGGGGCAGGGGCTATAGTGGGCGCCGGGGCTGTAGAGGGTGCAGGGGGGAAGGAGCTGAAGTGGGTGCAGGGGGTAGAGGCTATAGAGGGTGAAGGGTGAGGGGCTCCAGAGGGAGCAGGGGGGCTGGGACTGCAGAGGGAGCAGGGGGGTAGGGACTGCAGAGGGAGCAAGGGGTAGGAGCTGCAACGGTGTAGAAGCTGCAATGGCATGCTGGGGAGAGCAGGGGGTAGAGGCATGCTGGGTAGAGCAGGATGTAGAGGCTTCAGGGGAGAGCAGGGGGTAGGGGAATGCTGGGGAGAGCAGGGGGTAAGGGCTTCCGGGGAAGAGCAGGGGGGCATGCTGGGAATAGCAGGGGTAGGGGCTGCAGGAGGTAGGGTCTGCAGGGGAGAGCAGGGGATAGGGGCTGCTGAGGGAGCAGGGGTGTAGGGGCTGCAGAGGGTGTGGGGGTAGGTACTGCAGAGGATGTATGGGCTGCCTTGGGTTGGTAGGAGTTGTAGTTAGTGTAAAGGTATAGGGACTTTGGGTGTACAAGGACTGTGATGGGGCAGTAGTGGGGGAGATTATAAAATTAAAATATTTTAAATAAAAAAAAAGATTTAAAAAAATAAATCCCACCTCCCCAAGTCTTACCTCCCTGGTAGTCCACAAATCCTCTTCTGGAGGTCTCTCATCGCCCATGCTGCCTTTAACTATGCTCATGGTAGCTTTGCACAGCTCACTCTGCACTGTGACTGATGATGTCACTTCCTGCAGAACAAGCCACACGGAGCTGCCCTGAGCAGTGTTACAGGCAGCTCAGTAAGGCTGTGTTCACTGAGACAGGCACACTGAGGGGCAACCTAGTGGGGTCGTTTGGGAAGGCCCTTTAGCTGTCCCTCAGTGTAGAAAGGGGAGAAGGTTTGTAGCAGTAGGGGCCCGCGGAAGGCTGTGCGGGCCACTTACTGAGTGCTGGCTCTCTGGGGAGATTATTTAACTCCTCAGCTCAGCCATTACTGCACTGCAGCAGGGGCGGGCCCCCCCAAAGCCCCCCCCCAGAGCCTTGGTCCATGACCAATTTGACCATGACCATGACCAATTTGCCCTAGTGCTCGGTCGGCCCCTGTTAACTGGGACCCAGATAAACAATAATTTTAAGAAATATACTATATGGTTTATAATTGATCAGCATGCTATGAAACATTACCGTACATTTAAAGGCAAGAGCCCCATTTGCCTTGTCTTTAAATGGTTATTCTAAGCACCTTATGGTGCACGGACTCTGTGTGTGCACTGTTTTAGCATGAAACACTGCCAATTCTAAGGATTTTCCCCTGGACATTGCTCCTCCTTCTAGCTCCTGTCAATCAGCAGCTGAAACTTTGGCTATGTCAATTTGATGCACATTTTGCATTCCTTGTTTGCACATTATATTTACAACTTAAGCTGAACTCTCCCCTGCCAAGAGACAGAACTGAACAGTGTACTGTGCATGTGTGGACTATAACTCTGCCAACAGGTTAATATAGCAAAGTTCACAAAATAGTAAACCGGGCTATGCATAAACTGATAGCAGCCAGAGCAGTACCTCTCATCCTATGTGATAAGTCTAACTGCAACAAAATGCAGAGGTTTTTTTGACAATTGCCTCTTCCTAGTGTATGATCGTTTTATCTGCAGATACATGCAAAACCATTAAACAATGTTCAGTAGAAAAAAATTGAGAGTTAAAGGTGATTAACTTTTTATGCATTTTGTGTGTGCTTTATTTTATTGTATCAAAAATATGTGGTAATTTTTACCCATTTATTTCCCTTTAAAGTGTAAATGGAGTCTGTTGTTGCTGATACTAGCATGCATACTACTGGCATTCAAAGAGTTATCTATATTTAACCATATAAGTAAATATATACTTTTTACACAACCTGATTATTTACTCCAAAAATGAATATATTTCGGCAGCAGTTTGCAGTTTACCATGGAATTTAGTTAAAGTATTTAAGAATGTCAATGACAGAGTTCTCATTCAAAAATGTTGCCATTTGTTGGCTTACCCAATTCACAGGGCCACTTGCAATCCTACGCAGAAAAGGGTCTTCATATTAAACATTTGGAAATAGAAATACTGGGGATTCATTCTGGTGATTTAGGGTAACTTGATGTTTATGATTCATGAGCACATGGCTAGATCCCCAGTAAAACTACAACATGGGGTTCACTGCAGTATTCTGGGTGATTGGAGATTTATTATATCAGTATACCAAGCACTGCAATAACGATCACAGGGTAATTTACTAAGTGAGAATTGTTGGGAATTCAATATAATTCTAAGTAAATTTCAAAGTTAAGGCCAAAATAATCAAACTGAAAACATCTCCAAATCAGATATGCTATATTTAGATACTCTGACCTGAAATTTCAAATTCACTTTGAATTCTCTTCAAATTCCTGACAATTCTCCTTTTACTTAGACACCATACTATTTTCAACATTTCTAACACTAGATTTTAACTTGGACTTGTTAAATGTGTATAATTAGACTGTTTTTTAATTAAAGGACCACTATAGTGCCAGGAAAACATACTCTTTTCCTGGCACTATAGTGCCCTGAGGGTGCCTCCACCCTCAGGGACCCCCTCCCGCCGGGCTGGATGGCGAGGAAGGGGTTAAACTTACCTCTTTCTCCAGCGCCGGGCAGGGAGCTCTCCTCCTCCTCTCCACCTCCTCTCCTTGTCTTCGGCTGAATGCGCATGTGCGGCAAGAGCCGCCCGCGCATTCAGCCAGTCTCATAGGAAAGCATTTACAATGCTTTCCTATGGAAGCTGGCATCTTCTCACAGTGAGAAGCACGGTGAAAATCACAGTGAGAAGCATGCAAGCGCCTCTAGCGGCTGTCAAGAGACAGCCACTAGAGGCTGGATTAACCCATTTATAAACATAGTAGTTTCTCTGAAACTGCTATGTTTATAGAAAAAAGGGTTAACCCTAGCTGGACCTGGAACCCAGACCACTTCATTAAGCTGAAGTGGTCTGGGTGCCTATAGTTGTCCTTTAAGTTTATTTTTTATAAAAGCAGACAGTGTTTTAATTTGATGTAGCTGAAAAAAAAAATTTAATTCAACTTTTTCTGAGTGATTACTTTTTTCACTACAACTTAGAAGTGTTTTGTATTTTATGCAGAGAAAACCTATAGTTACATTATGTTGATTATCTAATTATTTAATAATACATCAGTTGAGGTGTTTTTAACTCTTAAGTTTTTTTTATCTTTTTTTAATGTTATTAACATGTTCACAATACATTTTATATAAAAATGCTAGCATTAACAAACATAAAGACACTCGATAGCCAGGCAGAGTTATCTCTAGCTTATGGTCATATTGATTTCTTACTTTTTAATTTGCTTTACAGTGCTGACTGAAAGTCAATAAGGTGAACACATGCCCACTTTGCATGTTCAAAGTAAACAGAGATTACCTTAGTTACTCTCAGTATAAAACAACAAATACATGTGCACTATATGGACTGTGTATACGTGATATCACTGTGAGTGTGCTGCACTTTAATGATGCTGTAAAATGACTAAAACGTCTTCAAGACCAACATTCTAGATAATACTCAAACAGAGGAATTACACTACGGAATCTGTTGGCGCTATATAAACGGCCATAATAATAATAATAATAATTATCCTTTTGCACCGATCTTTTGGATACCTTTTTTTATTTTCACTTGTCTTGACTTTATATATTAGGATTTAAATATAATTATTGTTCTTCAGAAAACATTGTCTTTTTTTCTGTCTTGCTTATGTGTTTAAAATGTATTTGTATTTGTTTTGTTATAAAAAAAAATAAAGCAATAAAGATTTTATTTTTTTTTATTAAAGAGCGTGATGCACTTAAAGTGAAAATGTGCAAAGGTTTCCTGTGGTGAGGGAATGATCACATGTAAATTGCACACGCATTCACACTATAGCTCAAAGCAATGTATAGATAATGCTGCAGATTAGCAGTCATGACTAACACTGCATCTACAGATGCTAGCGAACTACATTTCCCATGATAGTCCATGGGAAATACAGCTTTTTAAAAAAAAAAGGTTTATTGGCGAGGCTAATCAAGACTAAACCAGAGCATGTTTGCCAAGTAGAAAAATTTAAATAATGCATTTACGGAGATGAAGTTTTAATTTGCTTAGTGTATTTTCACTGGCATAGAAATAAACACAAAATGCTTGGAAAGAACAATGTGATATCCATGTGCTATACTCATTGACTGTGTTTGAACAAAATTTGAGTGTTTGAGTACAATTTGCTCTCTGACACAAAATACCTGTTTTAATTGTATAGTTCTAATTTATAAATGAATAATATTCTGGGTTTTTTTTAATCTCTAGGGGTCTGTTAAATAAATGGCGGGCTACAGTTACCTTAGACTTTAAGATGTAGGCCAAAATGGGTGTGTAGGAGTGTGCATGAGTTGTATGTACATGTGTGTGTGTGTGTGTGTGCGATATATGTGTATGTGGGTTTTTTTTTTATATAGCAAATTCATTGACCAGATTGACTCTGTGACTTCTTAAAATGAACTTTTGCAAATAGATAAGTAACGCTGAGTTTCACTAATTGGGGGAAATAGATAATGATTTGTATCTTCAGCGCAATTATTGGTTTTCCAAGTGAAATAAACAGCTGTTTCAATGACAGGACTACAGGAGCAGATCTATATGAAGCATTGGATTTTTTGCAGCTATGGTTTGAAAGTCATAAAAATGTTTGGTTCAGTTCAGGTCAATATATTTCCAGGACAGATGTCAGCTGTCCCCGAATTTCAGGGTGAGGGACTCACAGATCATTATAGAAATTACCATCACTAATCAACAGTCTTTCCAAAATAATTCCAAGTCACAAATCAGGTACCATGTAGGAATTTTTGGATGTGCTATAACTAAATCTAGAAAGCACATCTGAGACAAAATACAACAACTTTGTCTCCAAAATGTATGGTTATCAATGTTATTATTATTTTGGGTGGGGGACTTAGCCTAGATGATATTTGAGAGGTTATTCACTAAACATAGATTTGTGGTGAGATTCCCACTTGAAGCTAAGTTAACTGACAGGGTTAATCACTGAAGTGAGAATGCAAGGTGAATTGAAAGTGGGTTTTAAATTTAAGGCCAGAGTAGCTGAACTGAAGGAATAGTTAAGTCAGATAATTTTTCCAGATCAGCTATTTGACCTTCAATTTGAAATTCACATTGAATCCTCGCTGTAGTGAATAACCAAGTGAGATGGAGGGCACTGTTTTTTGTTGGTTTTTTTTTTAATGTAGTTATTGTGTCCTAAATATTGAAGCAGGCCCACAGTTTGGCTCATTTTGCAGTGGTACAGAAATAACACATAGCAACACACATTATTCTGTTCCACACAACATTAAGAAATCCAGTGTAGTATTTAGTCTCTGGACAAATTTTGCTGAGCTTTTCTTATGGGAGAATGCAAACAAGCACTGAATATGGGATAACTTGTTCTTGGATTTGTAATGTGTGCAGAGCACAGTCTTAGTTTCCAAAATAGATTCTGTTATTTTAGAATTTTTTGCACTAGTAAATATTATAGCTTTATATAATCCAATTTTCTAACCCGTGGTTTTTTTTTTCACACAACTCTCAATTTAGTGAATATTATTAGGACTCAAAAATTATGTAATGACCAATTGTATGTAAACTTTAATTAAACATATAAATGGGTGGTTGTATGATTGTATACGAATATATTAGAGAGAAGAAAAAGATAGAAAGAAAAGAAATAAAGAGAGAGAAAGTGAGAGAGAGAAATTATATCTAAGCAGCATGGCAGTCTGGGATGGGTTAATACAGTATGTGTAGAAATTGTGGAGGGACTCTGTTAAAATATTCCTTTGCCAGTAATTGAATTGCCAGCTTGCATTAGTGGAGAGATGAGAGCTGGAGAGGGTGATCTGTCTGCTCTATTCATTCTCTGAGCTCCAATCATATTTAAAACTCCAAGGTAGGTAGGTCGGTAGGTTTCAGGCTGATCCCAGAAACAAAAGCCATGCAATGTAAAGGCTGGAAGCTCCAGCCATCGTTTAACTTGCTGTTTATTAGAAATCGTTATCAGGAGAGCTGCTGGAATGCACTTGCAGCAGAGATTAAGTTGAGAGGAAGGAAAGAGTGAGAGATTTCTTTTTATTTGCTCTTTATCTGGACAGAGATCGCCAGGGACTGACAAACGTGTTCATTGTATGGAAACATAAATAATCACTGGACAAAGCCTAATTACTGAGGAAATCACCAGCCAGCCTTATTACAGAGTATGGAGCGTTTTGCCAAATATTCTCATAGGGTGCCAAAAAAATAAATAAAATGAAAAATAAAATTAAAGTGTTTTGCACTTAGTTATGTTTTTTTTGTATGGTTTTTATGTCTCAAATAGGCGAAGTATGGCAGTGATCTTAGTAGGTAGAAATCAATGCGGATAGATGTGTACTGATATTTAGAAAGAAAGTAAAATGGAATGATTGTTCTCTATCTGTCGATTTATCCAATAATCAATCGATCTATCTATCTTTCTATATATATATATATATATATATATATATATATATATATATATATATATATCCATCTATTTATCTACCTATTATTTATCAATGTATTTATTTATCCATCTATTGTTTATCTATCAATCTATGTATTTATTTATTTATTTTTGTTTATCTATATGTATCTATCTATCTATCTATATGTCTGTCTATCTCTTTATATATCTAATTCTCTTTATTTAACTATCTCTCTCTATCGTACCAGTTATAAAATATTCCAGTTGCTCTCCAAAGCAATAACATATTCTCAGAATTCAAAGTTTTCTTTTTTGACTGTGTGATTGCCGTGTATTACTAAAATAGTTACTAAAATATATGTATCTATATTAAATCCTGCACTTTGTCCATATAAACAGAGATATACAACCAATCTAAGGAAAACTAACTACTGTTATTTTTGTTTAATCACTATTTTCCTTGCTTTAAGAGAAGCACTTTATCAATGAGGAGTGAAGCATTGCGGGAAATGTAGTTCCCAGACACCTGCAGTTCCTGCTCTCTGTATTTGAATATAATACGTAGACTCGCAGAGGTGATACTGGAGGTGATGCAGTCTCAGGCAGCTGATCAAAGTGTCCTTGTTGGTACTAATATTTCTCACTTTATTACAAAGTGTCATTTAGAGGCTTGCATGCTTACAGATCATAGACTAAAATGTTGCAAGTGGACAATGTGGGATCACTGAGGTTAACGTCATTTATATTGATGAAAAATCTGTCTGTTGAGCACTAGAGCAAACTTTCAACTTGAACTTTTCAACTCTAGCTCCCTGTTCATAGATCTGACCGATTCTGCATGGAAAAAGACTCAGGTATCTAGCAGTGTCAGGCGGGGGAGGGGGCAATGTCTGCTTAATTTCCTCCAATAAAATAATGCTGCGATATATGGGCAAACATTCTAAGACGGAATTCTATGATACAATGTCCTTCATCTATCTAGCTAGTCTATATGGATCCAGCAAATCATGGTTGAACACTATCTAGGACATGAGATGAGGTATCGGGGGGTGTAGTGTGTAAATTGGCAGAATTAAAGAATTTGGACTAAATGGTCAATTGGCGTTCATTTTGAGATCAGCAGAACGCACTGTTTAGTAAATAAACCCCAGTGTCTCATTACCCTGCAGGTTTAACCCACAATAATGGCAATAACAACCATTCTAATTAAAAAAAAAAAAAATACATGTAGATTTCTGGAAATTATGTGATTGACTCTACATCCATACAATTATAGGAATCACCATTTTAATTGTGCTTTGATGCAAATCATTGCAGAAACTGCCCCATCACTAAATCTTTCTTTCTCATCTCATCCCCCTTTCTCCCTCCTTTCTTTCTCTCTGTCCCTAAATCCCTCATTCTCAAGTCAATCCCTCTCTCTCCCTCTTTCTCTCTCCCTCACTCTGTCTCTTTCCTCAACTCACTCCCTGTTACATATAATATTAATTATTCTTCTCCCTACTTCCCCCTATGTCATTTATGTGTAAATTCAAAATTAAAAGGAAAAAGGAATAACAAAGTTATTTTAATTGTATTCATAAATAATGTAGATATTTTTGTTTCTATTTTTTCCCTTTATTCTTTCATTCATTCTTTTTTTTTTCTTCCTTTCTTTCTAAAGTTTAAGATGAAAGATATATAAACTCCTAGCACATAATATTACAATGTGTATTATTTGTGTTCCATCAAACTGAATTGCTGGTTGTGCTGAGAAGCTGGTAGCCTGAAGTGTATTGGTGTATGGTGTTATTCTACCATGACATGAGGATATATACAGTCAGAGAGAGACTGGTCCATAGCATAGTGGTCATGTAAGCACAGATTGGCTGCAGGCAATGGGAGTGGGTTCCTTTAGCAGAGCTCAATGCAGGCACATCGCCCTGTTCAATGGGGAGACCCAAGCCCTTCAACAGATCATCACTAAGGCCAAGCTTGGAACTCTATACATGTGTGAACTTCACTGATTACTATGCTCAGCCAGCCTTTACATGTGTGGTCTATGGTCCAACACGATGGGGAATTTTGTCATTCAGTAATAAAGCCAATATTCAGCATTCTAGCCTTGTCTGGTTGTTTGTTTTGTCTATAATGGTATATGGGGGCTAGATTTTAATGGTACGTATTAGGTATAAAATCTTTTAATATGGCATTTAACAAAATGATTCCATCTTGTGTTATAACTCCTACACCGCTCAGTCTTCTTGCTTCCTTAATCTTATTTTTATTTTACTTTGATTTTATTTGTTTAATCAGTCGTCTTTTGCAAGTGAGGTTTGAAAAGAAAAGCCATTCAGGTAAATTGCCATTAACAGTGATGTTCAATGACATGCTTCAGTGGGTGGACTGGCAGAAAGGAAGCCAACCCACCGACTTTCTCCATCCCCGGCCAAAATAATGGTTAATACCTTGCCAGGAAATCCTGACAATAAATCAGCTCTCCTTCCAAAATATGGGATCAAAAGGAAAGATTTGCTATTCACTGACTTGCTGCTTTCCAGTTCGCTGATGAAAAAACACGGCATCCCTATGATCATTTGTTAAATGGAGAGGCCAGGTTGGACTGGTGTATACTGGGGGTTCTGCTGGGCTATGCTCAGGTGCAGATGAGTCCTGACAACGATACGACATCTCCAGCTGCCACACTGATCAACAAACAGCTAAAACACTGCCAGCCGGGGGCATCAAGCATAAAATATATAACATTGAAATACATCGAATGAGTAGACAAGAGGGTTAAAAAAAAATCCATCTGCTGTATACACTATAAACTACATGAAAATATAAAGTATAAAATCTATGTTTGAAGTAATGCTTTTAATATTTTCTTTTTTTAATTTTTTTTTTTTATATTTGTATTTTTTATATATATATATATATATATATCATGGCAGAAAATACATAGGATTTCACCCTGCCAGTGTAAGCTATAAATAAAATGAGTTGTTTAAAAACCAATAACCTAGTCTGATCTATAACAGATCGTTTGCCTATTCACAGAGGGCCCTGGCTGGGATTTGCTGATCTGTTATTGGGAATGTGATGGAAACAAAGGTGACAGTAAAGCCAGCACAAACAAACAAACAAACAAACAAATAAATAAATAACTTTCTTATATTGCAGATGGGATCTTAGCATTTGTGCAAAAAAAAAAAAAATTAGACAGATACTTCACAGAATGAGAACACATTAGAGAGTCCAAAAAAAAAAAAAAAAAAGAGCAGGACTCGAGATGTTCATCTTCTATCTCTTATTCATCCCTGACCAACACATGTCATCTGGGGCTTGCACAGAATGGAAGAAAGTCCCTTGACAGACGCATACAGCTGTCGCCCTATGGGTTCTATAGGACTGGGGCATATCCAGACATCCCCTACCCTCTGTTTTACATGAGAAGTAGCCCATATGCACCAGACTGAAAGAGGGGGCGGGAGGAAAGGTTGCTGTATTGATTTCATTTTTTAACGTTTACCAATAAAAGACGAGAGAATACAAACAAACAGCTGAAGGGAATGGCACAAGAAGAACAATGTTTGGGGGGAAAGACACTTTAGATTCTGTGTTCCATTAATGCACAGACAAAGAACACAGGAGATCAGGCAGAGATTCCAGTTACACCTTGCACAGACTGACACAGGCTGCCAGCCTTCAACTGAAGATATCACTTGCACACGTTACAATTGTTTCTGATCAGAAGGGGAATTCTAGTTTCCAAAGCTAATGAACATTACAAAAATCTCTGAAGAATATTCCTATTGGGCACAGGTAGGGTCCTATATTATTGCATGCTTTTGCATTTATTTATTTTTTCCTCTTGACTATCCATAAGATAACAGGATGCATCCGATTTGTTGATTTGGAACTTTAAATTGAAAAAACAATCTTTATGCAAAATTCAAAAACATGCCTTTGTTATAATTGTTTGATATTAGTGGGTTTCTTAGTAAATTGCAACTGGCCGTAATTAACCGCAGTGACATCAATGCTGTTTGTGATTGATAGGAATAGTCTTTCTAATGAAAATATAAAACGTGTTTGTGTTTATTTTATTTTTTACATATATTTTATATATATATTATATTTTTAAATTATGTATTTATGGAATACCTAGGGATATCGTGCTGCAGAGTTTAATTCACAAGGAAAACATTATATTATCTTATGTAAAGCGTAATATATTATTTACATTTTTACAGTTATATAAAATACCATTCAATGTATTAAAAAATATAAATCGTAGACTCTTGCATTCAATGTAATATTAAAAAATATACATAATAGACTATTGCATTAAAATACAGTAGTTAGCAATGTCATCTGGATGTTTTGATACTTTCTCCGTATTCCATTCGCACTTTCAAGAGATTATTCAATTTCTGTGTTGATAAACAATATTGCGCTGACCTTATATAGGAAATCTATTTCATGTTAAAGCTACACAACACTTAACAGTTCTTTAAAGCAAACACATTCAAAAGAGAATTATGCAACAGCATACTTAGCAAATGGATTGGGAATGCATTATGTAGTATATGTTAATCTCAAACGTTCTCTTTTTTTTGTTATGAAACCGGTTTATGTTGTGTCACAAATATACACTTTATAAACTTCTTGTAAATTTGGGTTCGAGTTTTTTTAATTTCACTATTTTTTTTTTGTTTTTTTAAAACAAACAATTACTGAGTTTCAGGAACAAACATTATGCAAACGATCTTGAGACCAAAACTGTACAGATTTAATTGCATATGTATTTATTAGTGATGTTGTTTAATTAACAATCAACACCTATGTGGTATTGACCAGTCAGACAGAATGCAAACCGGTTTGGTTGCAAGTGTTTATTTGTGAAGGCACACAACTAGATTAAATGCCCAGTTTCTTACTGTATTTTATAGTGTGTCGCTATGAATGAGTACAAACTTTTTATAAATACAATACAATAAAACTCTAAAATATCCATTTCCAAAATTTCTCAAAACATAGTTTCCGGTTTCAGTTTATAAAAATGAGCATACATGGTGTATCAGAGTGTGTGTGTGTGTGTGTGTGTGTGTGTGTGTGTGTGTGTGTGTGTGTGTGTGTGTGTGTGTGTGTGTGTGTGTGTGTGTGTGTGTGTGTGTGTGTGTGTGTGTGTGTGTGTGTGTGTGTGTGCTATATTTGTAGCCTGCAAACATCAATTTGAAATTATGTTTTACAACATGGTAAACATTCTAAGTTATTCGAATTAATAAAATAAATCAGAAATTGCAATGTAAAAAAAAACAAAAACATCAACTTATCCTATGTAGTTATCATTTGATAAAGTGTGTTGTATTGATTTTGTCAGGTATTATTGCTGATATATGTCCCATAATGCAACTAGACTCCACACCTACAAGAATACAGCTTCTCTACCTAGCCACATTGTAACTTCCCAGTAATAAACAGAGCCACACTTTGTCATCTAACTTGGATTTACTTAACTGTTGTAAAATTCGCTCTGCAAACTTATTGTTCCTGTGTCTGTTATATCAACACAATCACCAGACAGGTCTCAACCATAAATAGGTTATGTACAATTAACAATCTGCTAGACTAGGGGAAAAAATAGATTAACGCATTTCTGCCTGGGCAGGAAAAAAAATACAAAAATACAAAAATAAAAAAATATATATATTTAGATACAGGTATCATATATTATATGTATTACCTACCAGTTAAATCAGTTTCTGCGCTGTAAGCACCTTGTGCACTTATCATACATGACACAGTGCTACCATTCTGTGACTGATCCACCTCTTCCATAAAAATTCAATATCTTACCAAATGAAAAAAAATGAAAATATGACATTACCTAAAGATTTTGACAATGGGGTTGCTTTTGCTTATTCTCTAGAAATGGTCTTAAGGAACTCTCACAGCTTGCTAGGGTGGTTAATGGTTTACAAGGGACTGCACGCAGCTGATTGGCTCTTGGTGCTCGTGTCGTCACAGACTTGTGCATAAGGCTAGCTACACGGCAGCTGGTAACATGCAGTCCAGGGAAGGCAGTTCAGATGGAAAGAGACAGCCAGTGGAACATTGACAGACCTGTAGAATCTTCAGCACCACCGCAGCTAGGCAACGCATCTAAATAGAACGCCATCAGAAGGTCTGCTTTCATCCTGCCTGGCCAACACAGGACACAGCAAAGACCTTCCCATAAAAGCCTGGTTTACTTATACTGCAAGTGTGTTCTGGACTCAGTATTATTAACCCCAACAAGAAGAGGACATCACACTCACATGGACTAGGTAACTTCCTTTATTCAATCTGAGGAGAGAAGACCCAGGCTGTCCATCCCAGTGATCAGCCATCTCCAGCCATATCTCCCCCATAGGGAGGTGTGTGTGGAAAGCATTGCACTGACAGCAGAGGCAATGCTGGCAAGTTAGAAGCCAAAGCCCCCCCTCCCTGTCCTCCTTTGGTTTATTTTGGACGAATCTGCACTTTCATCACTGACTGAGCTACCTCAGATCCCAGGGAAACCACTGATCAGTGTCAGGCTTGTTTTCCTCCTTTTACTCCTGCTACCTTCCCTCTCCTTGGCTGGGAATCTCCTTCATCTTAAAAGCTGTGCTGGCTCCTGGCTGCCTGTGGCTCATTTGAGACTATAAGGAAGAGATTTTATTTTTTGATATTATTAGAATTATTCTTTTTGTTTGTTTAGTTCTGTTGTTGCTACTAGTGTTTGGCTTCTGTCGCCGGGATCCTTTTCCAGCTTCCAAAATATCCTCCAACCAAAGACAATGGTACACTGTGCTGGATGCGAGAGGCCCATTTTGGACCGTTTCTTGTTGAATGTACTGGACAGGGCTTGGCATGTGAAGTGTGTTCAGTGCTGTGAATGTAAATGCAACTTGACAGAGAAATGCTTCTCCAGAGAAGGCAAGCTTTACTGCAAAAACGATTTTTTCAGGTAAGTGATGGATCAGGCTCACCCAAAGGCCACCAATGGCTCACAGTTCCATGTTTGGTCCCAGGGACACATGGATCTCGATGGAAAGATTAGTCTTGGAACGATGCTTGAGGAAGTCGTGAGAATTCTAACACCCGAACCCAGAGATACCTATGGATTAAACCTGGCACCGAAAACATATATTAATTATTGATGCTCTCTAAGCTCCCTCATTCGCTGAGCCTGATTTATTGTCATCAGCATGTGTATAAAACACGCATTTATTGAAATATACCTCCAAGTGTAGAGTATATTTGCTGGTTTGCTGTGTGTTCTTGTACAAACACACCATGTGTTTTTATGAGTGTGTGACCTGCAATAAGGCAATATCTTGAATTTAATACATTTAAATATATTGTGTGTGGACGCTGAAAAAAGGAAACCGAAATGCGTTTAGATATTTTCTTACATTTTAAATATCTATCTATCTCTCTATCCCTCTCTATCTATCCATCCCTATCTCTCTATCTATCTATCATCTACCTATCTATTTACCTATCTATTTATCTATCTATCTTGTATTTTTGTATTTTTTAATAGTGATGTTCTGCTGTAGTTGATAGTTTATTAGTAAAACATTACTAGTATTAGTTTAGGCTATTCTTTTAATACAAGAATACTCGAAAAATGACAAGACGTGTCTCTGAACAGGCTAGATAATCTACAACTGGCCCTTGTCAGCTGTGAATTTATTTAGCACCATCTGATGAATATTTCAGTGGTGACAAAGTAGAGATAAAGACTCCTCGGAGATCGCCTGAAAACGGATCTAATGTGCTCGATCAGTGCGAGGGGGAGCTGCTATCAGTCCCCCAACAGATGCACACACCATGCCACACCGTGCATTGAGGAGAAGAGCTCAAAAGTGCCCAAATGGTTTGATAATTATAGAGCCCAGACATGGTTTCCCACGCAGTGTTTCTGGAGGTTAAGCGACGGGTTAAAACGATAATTTGATGGATGAAAGTGACATCTTTTCCTCAGATAAAGAGCTGATCTTTCATGTCAGTGAATTTTTACAGGCCCAGAGAAAGTGTCATTTTAGATATTTATTTATATATATATATTTTTCCTTCTTGTCAAACGATATAAATAATGTCCTACATCTCTAAGCATTTCCTACTGCAAAATGGACAAACACATAAAAAAAAAATATCAAATTTAAAAAAAACATTCAAATATATATATTATATATAATGTATCCTACTCAACTACAGGCGCAGCTTAAATATTTTTTTTTATCTTTATAATTTTAATTCGCTCCAGTGTGGAGTTTAGTAAATTACCCTTGGTATCTGACTAATAGGTTATCACAACTAAAACACGCCATATTCACTAAACACCGAATTGTAGAGAATTAAAACAAAACTGTAAAATGTAAATACAATCCAATGTTGCAATTTTGGGGTCAGTTCGATACAGATCGGAGATTAGTAAATATGCCCTTATTTAGGATATATTGGACACAAATTATACCGTATAGAGTTCTATATACATGAATATTGTTCTTTATTGAGATAACTTGCACAAGTAGAAAAGGTCTCTTGAAAGGGTGTTGGAATTATAAACCTGCAGCATTTAAACATGTACTTGAGAATAGTTACTCAGTCACACACACTGAGGTGTTATTTGTTCAGCCACAATGCCCAGTGTTTGCTATACTCTATAGGAGACATGCTTTTGTGTATTCAGGAATATCACATAGAAAGGAAATCACACTTTGAAATGTACTTAACTTGACTCATCGCTTAGATATCCTGTCCTGCTCTCAGAAATGCCAGTGTCCCATGTAGGTATTATGGGCTGTGGATTTTAGTAAATTAGTGATAACTAGATTTGGATTTGGAAAGGTGTTTAAGGAGGAAACCACAGAAAATCCAGACACAGTTTGCAGAAGAATGAGCATATTTACTAAACAGCGATTGGTAACTGACTTGTAAAATATGGGGTTAAATATTAGAGAAGAGGACTCTCCCCAATCCCATTGAGTAGGTTTTGTTCTTTTACTTTTATTTTTTTCTTTGTTTTATTTTTGTTTTTTTATAAATCCATAATCTGCCATTTTGTTCTAAATTTCTGTTTACTTACTATTCCCCATTTTGACAGGCATTGCATAGCTAGTTAATGTGCAAATATAATATAAAAAAATTATAAATTTATATATAATGGCGTTTATTATTATTATTCTTATCATTTACAGTGAATATGAGATTTGAAAATATTACTTTACTTTTTAGAGTACATGTATACATGACTATATAAATGGTAGTAAAATTATTATTTTTTTGTAAGGAATAAATATTTTAGGCTGTATATTTTTGTAGTCTTGAGAATTTTCCGAATTATACATAAAAAGGTTTACATTACACAGTAGTAAAGTCCAGTTTTGGTCTATAATAGTTTTTATTTGTAAATAGCTTTGATGATTAATTGCTTATTTGACCCCAATTCTCCTGTGTAAAGCCAATTTCTACCCCCTTAGCGATCCCCATTTCGCACTATTACGTAGAAAATGACTTATTATCATAAAACACATTAAAAAGGGACGTTATTTAGAATACATTAAAAATAATATAATGCACTGTAAATTGAAAAATTAAAATTGTGTATCATATCCTCAACAAAATATTATATTATATAAATGTAATAATTTATAAACATTGTATACAAGGTCAACAAACTCAGATATTTGCATTTAAATAACAAAATCACTTAATGTTGCAAAATTTAAATAATATGCTTCTTGTCTGTTAAAATGATGTCATGTTCTGTATGAAACACTCTTTGATAACTATGCGGAAAAAAAATATTTGTTATAACCATAGGACAAGTAATATTAAAATATGGACACATTCACCTAGGAGTAAATAATTCAGTCTTAAAAAAAAAAAAAAAAAATCTTGAGGGTTTATTCGCTGAACAGTGAATTGCAATTAATCAAATACTAAATTTAGAATTAGGTGAAAAATAGACAAGTTGGATAGAAAGCTAAATTAGATTTTTTTTTTTTCAAAGCAAATCTTATTTTTATAAAATTTGAAATTAATATTGTTTAGTGTTTTCATTTGTTAATTTTTTTTAATTTTTTTTTTGTTTACTTTACAGAATAAATCATTAAGTTTGATATAGTTATAGATGATCTCATCGTTTTCTTGTAAAATATTATCTTCCTTTAATATTATATTATACATATTTTTCTCTTCTTCTTCTAGACGTTTTGGTACCAAGTGTGCAGGCTGTGCCCAGGGCATCTCTCCCAGTGACCTGGTGAGGAGGGCACGAAATAAAGTGTTTCACTTGAACTGTTTCACGTGCATGATGTGCAACAAACAACTCTCCACTGGAGAGGAACTTTATATCATTGACGAGAACAAGTTTGTCTGTAAAGAAGATTATCTAAATAACAATACTGCCAAAGAACACAGTCTTCTCTCAGGTAAAGCTTGCTGGCAGTGCTTGGGGCTGAGGGTGACCAGGAAATGAGCGAAACGTTAGTCGATCTGCCTTTGTATAATCATGGCAGTAATTTGTACTTATCACCCCCTGATGTTTTGTTAAAAATGCAAATCTAAATGGAGGGAGGAGAGTGGCAGAGAGAGGGGGAAAAAGTGAAAGGGATAGGGAAAAATGGAGGAAAGAAATAAAAAAAAAGATGTTTATTACTATAATCAAAATACATACTATTTTGTTAAAATCCTGAATTTACATATAATTCTGAATGTTGAAATTCTAAAATTTAAACTTAAAGAGAGCCCCTTTCACTTTGATTAATACAAGTAAAAAGCAGTGGGTTGATGCAATCACCCTTTGTTTGATATGAATCATTTCTTCCCTCCCTGGAATAGTAACAGGCAGTGACCCCAGTTTATCTCCTGACTCTCAAGACCCATCTCAAGACGACGCAAAGGACTCTGAAAGCGCTAACATCTCAGATAAAGAGGTTGGGATTAACGAGAACGATGACCAGAACCTTGGAGCCAAGAGGAGAGGACCCAGGACCACTATCAAAGCCAAACAGCTGGAGACTCTGAAAGCTGCCTTTGCTGCAACCCCTAAGCCCACCAGACACATAAGAGAACAGCTGGCACAGGAGACTGGCCTCAACATGCGAGTGATACAGGTAAATCTTGTGTTGGGCGGATGCCAACTGTGCCAATGCCAAATGGATTAACACTTGGTTAGCACACTCCAATGTGGAGTTTGTCTGGAAAGCCCTAAACAATAGCTATTGTTTGCTCTGTAGAGTCAGGGCATGGCTTTCCCTAGTCACTACAGATTGTATGACGCACAGGCTCCTGTTAACCCTTTCCAGTGCCAGTGAGACGGAAAACGCGTCAGGGTAACCATATGCGTTGACGCAACGCAGAAACATGCATTCCAGCAGGATGAAATTGGATATTTAGTGTTACATGCACATCAGCAGTATGCTGATAATAAAATAATACGCATTTGGCTATATTTGTGCAGAATTAAGAACACAATGTAAAAATTTAAATCACTGTCAAGAAAGTAAATATATTATATAATTATAATAATAATACAAATGATATATCTATATTTTTCAACTGTCATTATGCATATTTCTGTAACAATTAATTAATTTAATCAGGAGTGGTGCCTGAGTGGAATGGTCCCAAAACAATGAAATGTGGTTTGAATTTCACATAAACCTCTGGATTGATTTTATAGTTTGGCTATTTAAATTGAATGCAAAATTGCAGAATTAGAAGAAACATTTGCCTTGTAATGATGGTGGTATCTCTGCCTTACTATGACTTGCTATCAGTGAACATAGAAAGAATTATTTACATCACATTATGTATCTCTGTTTATAATATTGTTTATTGTGGACAGCTTTGTAGGGTGAAAATGAAAATACAATTTATCCTAAAGATGTTTAGAAATGTCTTGAAATAAACTCATATCAATGTTTACATACAAATAAAAAAAATGCACTTAAACATGGTTTCCAAGCAACATTTTACCAGTATAAACAATAGTCTACTAGTAGAAACAATAAAACTATTAACGGTGACTCCAAGAATAATAATTATACTTTACCAATAGAGTTTTATCCTGCAAAGCCTTTGGGCTGCCTGAACTGCTAAATTATAATCGTTACTTTGGAGTGAAATATTGTACAAATGGGCTTGCAGTTTCAACTCCTATCTTATCATTTATTGGCCTTAAAGGATTGAATAGGGGTATCAACTTGCAAATGGACTAGAAATTAATAACCATAAATGTGAGGGGTTAATGGAAAAATAAGAATGACAATGAGCTGGGATTATTAAAAGGTTTATAAACCCGCAGAGCTGGGGGTAATGGAGGGTTAAAAGATCATTAAGGCGAGGTTAGATTGGAAGAGCCTCAGTGTGAGGATAATTAGGAGTAATCTTGTCAGGGTAATAAGAATTAACTCAATCATTCTTGACCTAAAGGGGAAAGCCAACCAAGGGGGTGGGGGGGGGTGGGGGGGAGTGTGAGGGGGTGGTTAAATGCCTTTAAATGTTTAATTCAGTGTAAACTGTAAAGAATCGGTAGCCGGACCTGTAAATATATTTTACATATATTTGAGTGGAGAATAGTCAGGGTTTCTTTATCCACGCACGAGTGGGTTATCTTTCATTAAACTGCTATAGTGGAATCTTCCCACAGAGACACTGGAGTTCACCCAGGTCATCTACAGTCCCAGGGGGTGAATCCTAGTTTCTGCCAGGGAAAAAAGTTAATGAGTGACAACGACATAGTGGAAAAAGTGACTCTAGGTTATTCAATACCCTCTTCTAGACAGACACAATGTAACACTGCCTTATTATTATTATTATTATTATTTTATTATTTTTATTTTTAAAATATTATATTTAAAATTCAACAAGTGCATCGATAGGTAGCTAGATAGATAGATAGATTCCACAGGACAGTTATTATAACTCATCTAGTACATTTGTTATAATAAAATAAAAAATACAACAAAAGAGAATCCCCCTTGCAATTTGCTTCATGCACGGCAATTATCAAAGGAGAAGCCTACAGTACAAGTTAATAGATTTCACAGCAAGTGAATTTCTTTTTTTGGATTTTTTTTTTAATACATATATAAATAATATTTTATATTATAGTTTTTTTTGTTTGTTTGTTTTATGTTACAAATTGCTTAATGAGGTGGGTCATCCACACAAATCGACCTAGCTAAAATGTAAAAAAAAAACATAGACCTTTATTCATCAAATAAGTAGATTCCACAAACGTAGGACATTCTAACTAAATCTTTCAAATTAAAATGGTATCGCTGCAAATAAATGTGTGTGTGTGTGTTTCTGTGTAAGAACAATATAAACACTGACTGACATGGCATTGTACAGCACTTCGCAATAATAAACATTTATACAGTGTGTGTGTGTGTGTGTGTGTGTGTGTGTGTGTGTGTATGTGTCTGTGTGTGTGTGTGTGTGTGTGTGTGTGTGTTTAACACGTGATCTGAACAGTTATCACATTCCAGTCAATGTGATTTATAGTGTGTATTTACCCCAATTCCTAAATTTATGTGTATATTAAATTTAGTTAAGTAGGTTTTTTTAAAGAATGAGTTCCTAACGGGCGTTGATTAGTAGATAGCGGGATTGCCATATCCAAGCTTACTTTTTATGTGATCAGATATAATAATATCCACATATTATTTGTATAAATGTTATTTACACAGATGTATAAATTAAATATAAGGTGCATTCACAGTCATTTGGATTGAATCTTTGCTAAAGCAATGTTTTGATCAAGTAACCAATACATACAAGATATATCACCAGATTAATATCAGTAACCAATCTTCAAAAAAGGGCAGTATGGCAATTTTATTAATAACGCTTCCCCAATATATTTAGCTTGTGGGGAAAAAAATAGACAACTAATCCAGGTCTGTAAATAGAATAAAATACTTTACAAGGATTTATTCACTAAAAGGTGAGCGATGGTAAAATAACATTAGAAATACAATGACTTATAAATATTTGTAAAATTTTAGCATGCGATTTACACAATTCTGCTAATCTGAACCCCTCCCTCTTTTATTCCTCTAAATCGACAGGGGTTACTGTCTATTTAAGGTTACATTTGTCAAGTCGGTTGCTAGATTTATATTATCCCTTATTTAAATCTATACATCCATATAATGAACAAACCCAGAATTAAATGGGTATATTTAAGTCGGTGATTATATAAAACTGTATTTTGTTTGAAAAGGCAGCCGGACGTTTAAAAAAATTTTGAGATGGAGATCATCCTGATGTGGTTATTTTGCAATTCTCTACCAATTTCCGGCTAAGGGAATAACCCTGTCCAAAGTTTGTCATACAACCTAAATTACATTTAAATAACATCCGGTTATAAAAAGGAGACAAAGCAGTGACCTTGATAGAAACGCCAACCCCCAACCATTGCATTTCCCCCGAAACATATAAAAAAACTAATTCCGATACAAAACAACCAAAAGCATGAGTTCCAAATACACTTTCAATGTAATATAAGAAATATATATAGTTATATTGTTATATATTTGTATATTTATATATTTATATATTTGTCAACGTTTCGATTCCATAACAATCTAGATTAAAGAATCTTCAATTGCAATTAGCATCTGTCTGTTGTAGTGACTTTGGATCTAGATGCATTTCAGTGTTGCTAATGACGCTAATGTGACGCTGTTTTTGCGCTTGCAGGTCTGGTTTCAAAACCGACGCTCCAAAGAAAGGCGCATGAAGCAGCTGAGTGCGTTGGGAGCCCGCCGGCATGCCTTCTTCAGGAGTCCCCGCAGGATGAGACCTCTTGTGGACAGACTGGAGCCAGGAGAGCTAATCCCCAATGGACCCTTTTCATTCTATGGAGGTAGGAGCCAGAGAAAGGCAAAGCTCAATGCAAGGCATAGAGGGGGAACACTAAATATCGATATGCCCATGATGTATAATCTTTTTATCCGGATCTTTCGAAACTACAACTCACATGATGCTCTGCCTGCTTTGTAGACTGGTCAAGCTTCCAGGGAGCTGGAGGTGCTAGATAAATGTGGCAGTACTGTAATTGAAGCAATGGTCTCTGCATATATTCAGCAAAGTCCTACTTTTCTCTGCCAATATTATAATAGATAGGCATTTCTTACATCTGTTTAGAATATTAAGAGGATATTCTGCAAGCTGGTTTTTAATTCAGCTCAGTTTAGTGAATAATCCCCATCTGTAAAAGGCCATGTAAGACAGCGGTCCATTCAATAGCACAATGTAAGATATTGGGTACTTGGTCCTTTAGCTATGTAAACATCTTTACACACAATCATTCCTAAGCATACACAGGCAAACACAACCCAATAAGAATGTAATGGGAATGCTAGGCTGGCATTTTTAAATAATGAATGCAAATATTTTAAATGAGAATTTTAACGATGAAGGATGAGATTGGGTAAAATTGCTTGAGCACTAAAGTGTCAGAAATGATATTTCTGTTGATGTTACCCAGACAGGCGCTAGGTCGACTCATTTTGTATGGGCCCTATGAATACAGCATAGCTGCAAATCAGATAACCTCATAAATATGAATGAATGGCTGCTCTCAACAGTTCAAGTTTATTGTAAAGAGGAGGAGAGCCCAGAACAGTCTAACAGATTCTATCCTTCATTGCAAATACACTGAATGTACTGTGTGTGTGTGTGTGTGTGTGTGTGTGTGTGTGTATGAGTGTGTGTGTGTGTGTGTGTGTGTGTGAGTGTGTGTGTACACCTATGTTTGTGTGTGTGTGTTTGCATGTGCGTGTTTATATGTGTGTGTGTTTGTGTATATTTATATAAGTATGTTTGTGTATGGGTGTATGTGTGTTAATGCATGTGAGTTTTTATATGTATGTGTGTGCTTATATATGTAAGTATGTTTGTGAATCGGTGTTAATGCACGTGGGTGTTTATATGTATGCGTGTGTGCATTTGTGTGTGTGTATATATAAGTATGTTTGTGTATGGGTGTATGTGTATTAATGCATGTGAGTGTATGTGGCTGTATATGTTTCTGTATGTTCATGTGTTTGTTAGCTAACTGGGCATTTATTTATTAACGTTACATACCACTTACCCTAAAAAGGCCCAGGATAGCCACATCCCAATGATAGCTTCATATTTGATCAATCAATGTTGATCTTAAAAGGAGTCTGTTGCTACAACTGAGCCATTTCCCGATCTCTTATCAATGACACCAATCTACACATACCAAGAAAACCTCAGCAAGCCTATGGGTTTTCATGCTTGAAATACTTTGTTAATATTTAATAGAGTTTCTGATGGTTGACTAGCATACACCATTCTTCAGTGAGTTCTATGCACAAATATAGTGTAATGCTTTGCTCGCCATCAGTATTAAACCACTAAAAGGGACTTCTCAAGCTGTATGTGGAATTACTGAAGGTACTATATAGATAGATAGATAGATAGACAGACAGATAGATAGATAGATAGATAGATAGATAGATAGATAGTCAGTACATTGTTAAACACAGATCTGCACACACAAGGCAAACCTCGAGACTTCCTTTTCCCACAGAAATCTCTGATTTGCACTAATATTACGATAAATAGATAGAGAGGGAAATAGATGGATAGATAGATAGATAGATAAGATAGACAGACAGACAGATAGATAGATAGATAGATAGATAGATAGATAGATAGATAAGATAGACAGACAGACAGACAGACAGATAGATAGATAGATAGATAGATAGATAGATAGATAGATAGATAGATAGATAGTCAGTACATTGTTAAACACAGATCTGCACACACAAGGCAAACCTCGAGACTTCCTTTTCCCACAAAAATCTCTGATTTGCACTAATATTACGATAAATAGATAGAGAGGGAAATAGATGGATAGATAGATAGATAGATAGATAGATAGATAGATAGATAGTACATTGTTAAACACAGATCTGCACACACAAGGCAAACCTCGAGACTTCCTTTTCCCACAAAAATCACTGATTTGCACTAATATTACCATAAATAGATAGAGAGGGAAATAGATAGATAGATAGATAGATAGATAGATAGATAGAATTATTATATATCAATAAATATGGAATATGATGTGTAGTACATGTTCTTGTCCAGGGAAATCATATGCCAGGTAGAATTAGTAGTGTTATAATAAAGAATAGTTATGGCTATCGAAGCCTAAGATGTTTCATATCATTTTTAACTAGTGCAGGATGCAACAATGGATTTACATGCATTGCTTTGTATATAATAACTGTTACACTATCAGCTGAAAATTGAAAATCAGCTGGTTTAAATATGATTCTCTGTTATCTGTCTGTCTCTCTCTCTCTCTCTCTCTCTCTCTCTCTCTCTCTCTCTCTCTCTCTCTCTCTCTCTCTCTCTCTGTCTGTCTATGTTCTATTTTCCCATCGTTTTACATTTCCCCTGCCAGTGTTATTTGGTATTCAAAATTGACTGAATTAGCGGTTTAAACTTTGTATCAGTTTAAAAGATGGAATCAGTTGGAATCAGTGTAAAAGATGGAGATGTTTTTCTTATAGTTTGGCCTACAGTTTGCAAATTACCGGTAACGTGCACTGTCTTGCAATGTGTTAATGAACACACCCACAGTCTTCCAAAACGGTTTTGTTTTCTGTATAATTATACATAACAGACGTTACGTTTCTTAGTGACAAATAGAAACTAAAGAATACATACACTTGTTAAATACTTCCAGTATAAAGCATAACAGCACATAGGTTGGGCATTATTGGGCTGCATTTCCTCATACATTATAATACATATATAATATATATTTATCTTTACATATTTGTAATTTTTTATTATGATAATTTTTTTTTTAGATTACCAGAGCGAATATTATGGCCCAGGAAGCAATTATGACTTTTTCCCACAAGGACCACCTTCATCTCAAGCCCAGACTCCTGTAGATCTTCCATTTGTACCTTCTTCTGGACCAGCAGGGACTCCTCTTGGTGGAATGGACCACCCATTACCTGGTCATCACCCTTCCAGTGACGCTCAGCGTTTCTCTGACATCATGTCCCACCCACCAGGAGACTCTCCAAGCCCAGAGCCCAACCTACCAGGTTCCATGCACTCTATGTCTGCAGAAGTCTTTGGTCAAAGTCCCCCCTTTTCATCTCTATCGGTCAATGGAGGTGCACCGTACGCCAATCATTTGTCACATCCACCAGAAATGAACGAAACGACCGTATGGTAGTCTTATTTTTCTTTTTTTCTTTTATGTTTTTTTTTTTTGTTTTTTTTTATACAAACACAAAAAAAAAAAAAAATCCAACAACAACCAAACTAGACAGACTGGAGTAGTCAATTTATCATTCATAGTTCTTTCTTGATAAGTTGTGGTGTACAGAACTGGTAATTATTAATTTTATTGTCCACCCCCCACCCCACCCCCACCCTAAAAAAACGATGTACATTTTGGATTGAACTAATGACCTACAAGAGATCTCAATGAAATGGGATCAATGAAAAACAAAAAATAAAACCTAAAAACATTTATATTTTGTATGGTGGCGTGTGGATGGTAAATGTCACCTTGATATTCTGGTGACCCCAAAATCTCAGTCCTTTTTCACTTTCATAGTCCATGAAGAATTCATAGGTATGAGAGAGAACCTGCAGGAACCTGCAGCAGTTTGTAGTATATCTGGATTGTTCTCAACATTCTGAGTATGTTCCTCAGATATTAAAATGGAACAAACCTGGGAGAGCTTCAGACAATACACTTGCCATCCAGGTGCAACAAACATTTAATTGCCAAAATGACAGAATACAACAATGTAAAGCCCTCACAATCAACTATTCTACCTTCACAAAGCTAATCACAAAAAGTAAAAATAAACAAAAATAAAAATCCTCATGATCAGGGTCTGCTGTGCCAGATCTGCAACCAGACTGACTTGAAATAGATTCTACCTTCACTAATAGCGAAATAAAGAGACTATTGAACTAAAAAAGCAGTCGACTGTTTACGTATGACTTTAAATTCAGGAGCCTAATGTTTTAGTAATAATCCTGTTTTAGAAACCTCTTTGTTCAAAAATAAAAAATAATAACAAAAAAAATATCGAAATGTTTTGAGCAATCAAACCAAATGATTAATTCTACTTAGTTTTTGTTTTATTCTGTTGCTATATGGGGACTGATTGCAAAAGCTTTTTTTTTTTTTTTTTTTGGTACACTTGTGCTAGTTTAAGATGTTGTTTACAGAAGGTATAATTATGAGCATTGAGTGAGGTGCCAAATAAAGTTAATTAAATAGCACAAAAAAATACTGTAAGGTGCATTAGCACCAGTCACCATAGAAAGTATTTAAATGTGTTAAAAACAGTAAAAAAAATGATAATAAAACAAACAAAAAAATTTGCTATACTTTTTAGTCCTGTTGAACACTCATTGACTTGTTAATGACTTATATAGACAAACAGGTTTTATTTTTCTGTCCTTAAAGAAAAGTCCAAAATATTTAAATTTTATGGTCATATATGCAGTTCCAAGCTGCTTTTTTCTTTATATATTAAATTTTCTCATACGTCTTTTATTGTTATAATAAGAACCTAAGCTTGTGTGACCTCCAGTGCATATTAGACCATTCACTGTATGAAAGGAAAACATGTTGATAAATTTGTGAATTTTTAATAAAAATAGAAAATCTGACGTTTAAATAACTTGTATGTGATTTATCGCTCGTCAGTTAGTTTATTCAGAGCAAATAACTCAGGCTTTTTTTTTTCTTTTTAACATTTATTGTTTTGTCTGTTTGGTTTTTTTTGTTATTTTTTTTTGAAGTTCATTGAATCAGAACAATGCAATTGGTATTAAAAAAGGAAGCATAATCTAAGTAATAATAATTATTTTGCTATGTGCAGAATTTATATCTTGGCACTCTGTTAAAATAACGAATACCATAGTCCCTTTTATGTATTTTGTGCTTTCTTTATTTAATACTATAGTATGAAAACATAAGAGGAGAAAATAATGAACAATCCAGTTTTAATGAATTAATAGACTTCATTTCCATCAAAGATTTTTTGTTTACCATTATTGGCTATTTGACTTTCAGTATTAATTATTACTATTTTCAATTACTTGCAGGACATAGTATGACAGCTCCCCCCCCCCCACCTCCTACCCTGGAGGCAGGACACAGATTAGCAATCCTTAGGAACAGTATATAAAAAGATGTCTATTTATATTGTATATTGCAGAATAATAAAAAAAAACTACAATATCCATCACGGAACAAATATATGGGGGTTATTTACTAAACTGTGACTTGAGAACCGTGTTTTGAAATTTTAGCATAAAATAACTAACAGGGTTATTTATTAAAATTGTGATTCAAAGAAATTTCAGATTTAAGGTTAATCGAAGAATTCTCTAGTCATGCTTCTTGTTCTGCATTTCGGGTCTTAATTTTAAAACTTTGAATTTACTTCAAATTTTCACTAAAGTAAAAAAAAACAAAAAAAACAACAACTGTAATTTGGGAAAATATTAAGTTATTGTTTGACAAATCGGTTATGGAGGTTTTCCATTCACCCCAATACGTTGTTTAATGAACCCTCACCTAAAATTTACATGTGAACTGAATAGTGGGAATGAAACCCTCAATAGTCCATTCATATAACATTTTACAGTCAGGCATATATTTTTTAATTGCACGTTTTTTTTTGCTCCTTTCCCCTAAAGAGTAATCAGTAATCACTTATACCTATTGGTAAAATATAAACATTTAAACTAAATTAGTAAAGCTGGAAAATAAAACTGCAATTAAACTGACATTTTCTAGTGATTTGTGGGCGGAGTTTCATAATTCAGGCCATCAAATGAAAAATAATAAAATACATATAGGGTAAAATCGAGATTTTTTTTTGTTTTTATTGCTGTTTAAATTGTCCAAATCGGTGTTAAACTCACCATCTTTAACCATCAAGCAATAATCCCCTAAATCAAATTAGCTAATTGAACGTGCTTTCAAAATGTATTTTATGGCATATATAATTGCTACAATATACAATATTTGTTGTACATCAGTTTTCATTCTGCTATCTAGATTATAATCTGCTATGATATATAACTACTACAGTATATAATAATCTGCAATGTAATAGATACTTGCAACAATATACAATCTAATTTGTTATCATATATGATTGCTACAATATGCAATGTCTGTTATAAAATACATGATTACTGCAAAATTCAACAAAATATTTAGACTATAAAATTGCAACAATATGCAATATCCGTTTTATAATAGATGGTCGCTAGTATAATAGACAATACAATCTGTTACATATAATTGCTACAATATGCAATATCTGTTATGTAATATTTTGTGTATGTATGATATATATGATCGTTTTTGTTATTTATATTCCTACCCTGGAATGGACCTATTTTCCTTTCTAGTCAGTAACACTCTTCACAAGCCATTGCATACAAATACATTGCCCTGTATTTGCATAAAATCCCTCAAATAATTTAAACGGGCTGTAAATACATTTTATATATACCATTACTTAATTTGTTTTGAAGGTCATGCTGCTTTCAGTAATTCAGCTGCAAGCGTCCATGGCAAGAAAATGTGTTTTTATTACGAAATCACATTTCATTCCTTGATTATTCAAACCATTGAGTATTGGGATAGATTGTGCATAGGAATGGGATTTTTTTTCATTTATGTTTTAAATTTATTTCTAATAGTTTTGCATCGCATGTTTTACATTGTATACACAATAGACGTCCAAGCCTTTATATATATAATTTTTTTATTAACTGTTTTGGTGGCTAAAATTCAGCCTCCGTTATCCTCTTTAATTTATTAAATACATATTTGAATAAATTATAAGTTAAAATTAAAAATAGTAAATAATTACACTGAATATTACATTTTTATATAAAAACGAGATTGATATTGGCAATACGAAATTCTTATACAGTGTAGCACTTAACTGAAATTTTATCAAGTTTATATTGTGGTGATCTTAATTCTCACACAAAACACTCTCTCTCTCTCTCTCTCTCTCTCTCTCATATTTTTCTATATATATATATATATATATATATATATATATATATATATATATATATTCTGATGTAATGCTCAGGAACTGTAAATCCCCATGCATTGTAGACATCACCAAAAACAGCCAGCTGTGCAATAGATGGAGGCTGTAGATATATAACAGTAGCCTGGCTGAGTGTCCAAAAAAATAGATTGACTTATGTTTGGCTGCCGTATTAAATATTGCTAGAAGATTGCAGACACAGAAAGGCAAGGCAAGTCAACTGATAATCTGACAGCTGAAATGCAGGCAGGAAAAGCAGATCCTTGTCAGGTTTAGAAAAAAAACATATACGCCTTTTTTCATTTACAAGCAAATATATTTCACCCACCCATACTTCTAAATAGTGTATATGTATAGAGTATATGTGTACATTAGTATATGTCTACAGATAGAGTAAATGTGTTCATTAGACATATTAGGAATGAAGAGGGCTCCTCCACAGTACGTCACGTGATCGGCCAGTGCTGGACAGGAATAGATCATTAATACATAGAAGGGTGTCAGCTTGCGTTCATTCTTTTTAATATGTTAGTATGGGGGTAGTAAAAAGTGGAACTTCTGCCTTGTAGAACTTCAACTCCCATGATTCTTTGTCTGCCTCTAGGCTGCCGAAGCATTACAGGAGACGTAATTCACCAACAGTTAAGGTTCAATTTTTTTCAGCCATATTTTAGAACATACATGGATAGGAGAGGCTTATATTCTTTATTAATTGTCTTATTAATACTACAGTGAGTACTGGTCGCTGTTTACCTGTTTTCTTCCAGTGTCAAAGCATAGTCCCAACCCCCCTTTTAAAACACTTTTTGCTTCACAAACAGCGTCAACTCGTTCAAGGAATAGAATTTGAAGAGTGTATATTGTTAATACAATGCAAGGTGTAGGTGAATAACACAATTCTGTCATCATATGGAGACCACATGGTAAAACTTAATATTAACAAAACGTACTGATACATGGGAGCAATTTTAGAGTTTAATCTATAAATTGTGCAAATGGGAATACTTTAGCTGACCTTTGGATTAATTGGATTAATGAGTTGAATGATAATTGACTAAAATGCTGTACTTTATAAAATTTAATTATTTCATTTGCCATAATTAGGTCACTGTATGCATCCAAATCCTAATGGAAAGTTTCAGAATTGTTTTATAAAGTACACCATGTCACTGTCCCCTGGGTACTTTCTACATCATGGGGTCTAATCACTAAACAGGTGATTTTAGAACCTGCTTGCAAAATTGAGAGATGTATACATTCTCAAATTCAACTAAACTATGTATTTAAGGGGTTCCTTAAATTATTACAACTTGCTGTTTATTGAATAGACACCAAGGTTAAAAAATATCTATCTATCTATCCATCCATCTATCCATCCTAAAAAACATTGTCTAAAAAACATCTCTATACATTTGCATTCCTTTCCAACAACACTTACAATGCTGACACAAAGTATACTAAATTGAAAGCAATCTACAAGAACAGGGCTGTCCTCCTCGCTTTCAACATTACAGTGCTTGCACAATTCTCCATGCTTTGTTACCACATTGTATAGCTGTACTGAGTATATAAAACACTCAATAGCTAACTGACAATAATAATTATAAAATGAGATCAGCACAAAATTAGGAGGAAGATCCTCTGACACCAGAGGCCATTTCAGTTAATGGACATCAAAGGTGAGATAAAGGGACAAGAGCAAGAATAAAATAATCACTTAGATGTGTAGCATGCCTATAGGGCTGAGGGTTAGGGCCAGCTTGTAGCTATTGCAGCAGCTCCATGCTCATATTTCGCATTAGGCCCAAAGCAGTTGCATTATTAATGTTTACTTTATATTTTTTAAATTTATGTATTGTACCAATGCAACAGTGTACCCCTAGTTATACACTGGAACTGTGCTTTTTATTTATTAATTGCTTCTCAGTCATTGTGTTGCACTCACTCTGTACAGGCTGTCTCCTGTTGTGTGTGCGTAGGGCTTAAGCCAAATGTGTGACATCACGATCACACAGAAATGAGAATATGGAGACTGTGTACTAACGTAGCGATATGTTTACTTTATGCCACACATGTAGTTCATAACAGCTACCTTGACAATGGAAATTTAAATTCAACTTCTGTCATTCGGCCCACCAAAATTTTTTAGGCCCAGACCCATAACGCCCTTTTTACAGCAGTGACCAGGGGGCTAGACAGGTCTGTGCACAACGAAAAGTCTTGGTTAAGTTTTGTCCTTTGTCCCCATTCCTATAGTGAAAGGGGGTCCAAACTGGTAACCTACCTAGGTCCTGCGGGATATTAATATTTCTACACAAGTTTAATGTAAATGTGTGCCTTAATGAAAATTTCTCATCTAGTTTGTTGGCTTGCTGCAGGACCAGTATTAACCATTCCTCTATAACATAAGTCTATCCTATATTTCTACTTGCTTATGCACATTGCTTGCATTACACCTTGGCCTGGGGCTGTACATCATCACATCTCAGTGCTTTCCCCTCCTTTCCCTTTGAAGAGACCAGGTCTGAAGTCGTTAAGCATCATGTCTGTTCCAGGGAGCAAGTGGTAATTAATGATATACCTCTGCCCTCTGT